CGGAGGCATTGCATCACGTGAGAAACCCTAGCCGTCACTTCCCTCCCCGAGCAAAACCCTAGCCGCGCGCAGGTGCTAGCACATCTGCGTGTGGATACAGGTAGAGGCGCCGCTGGTTTGCGGTGCTGATCGGCATGGGAGTACGGCGAGGAGAACACACGAGGAGGACAAGGTCGAGCCGGTGCGATCGACTACTTCCTCTACATCGACGCGCGCTACTTCGCGAGAGTTCCTTCGACTTCTCAGCGTCTTCTTCCGCTGCGCAGCGCGTCGAGTGGTAACGATCTATGATCTAATACTTGCTTGGTTCCTGGTTTACGCAATAGAAAATTTTGATTTATGCTATCATAGCCTACGCGTATCCCAACACATATATTGTCATAATAACACAACCTCTACTCCCTTATACAACTTTAATCTGAAAAAGGTTAATTAGCTATAGGCTCCTGATTCCTGAAAAGGTTAGCTTTTGGAAGTTTAGGAAATCGAAGAGCTAGGTCATATATGCAATTTACTCCAAAAACTAAGTGATCTACTTGTCCAAAAGATTATCTCAAGAATACTGCTTTGACTTGTACGTAGGTAATAGAGTGGCAGCAGAAAGATTCCTATCGAAAAATTTGTTTAAACGTCCTAGAACTTAGTCTAATTTAGGTATGCATGTGAACTGTACCGAGTTCACAAAATCAATTGACTGCTGCGCCCACAAGCACGTGGTAATCACTTGGGACACCAATCCAGTGAAATATGCTACCTGTATGACAGCTTTTGAAATGTTATACAATGATATCCTTCTGCATTAGTTAGTCTAATTCTTGATGCCATACTTGGTTAGTTACACACGAACTTGAATTAGCAGTCATGGGTATGTTATGTATTGAGATGGCCAGCTGTGTGGCAACTGTATATACATGTAAATAATACAGCACAAATACAATTGTATACCTCAATTTGATCCATTAATGGTCCACATTCGCTGGCATGGCTCATCAAGTTCACAGTGGTGATCTAGAGGTAGGTCTAAACTATTTTGATGTTATCTGTTACAATAGCTGTGTGTGATGTCGGCACTTATTAGGATTAATTCAACTTGATGACACTTCGTCGTTGTATAGTTATATATATCAACAAAATTTTACCCCACTAGTTTCGAAATCGTTGGATCAAAGCTCAAATTCAATCAGGTTGCACCCAGACAGGTGCGCTTCGATGTTAATCTTTTTGGTGGATGAATTTATCCATGACATCCATCCACTATGTGTGATGGTGAATGCGCATAGGTGTGCTTATATTGTAAATGGATAAAAATAAAAATGGGTTGGAAACATTGTAGAAAATAAAGGCGAATGCCAAGCTCAGAAGACGGACCTGATGGTGGGCGGCAGAAAGAGAGCCCCGACGGAAGAGGATCCTCGGACTTACTTCCCTCTGACTTTGAGACACTGACATGTGGGCCTAAGTTACACAAGCTAGAGGGAAGTAAGTTAGAGAATCTCAATCCGAGCCGTGATACCACCAGAACCCTCATTGGTGGAGAAACATTCTTTACTCCCGGTTGGTAACCCTCATTTAGTCCCGGGTTTCCAACCGATAGTAGCAATCCGAGACTAAAGATGGGTATCTTTAGTCCCGGTTGAAATAACCGGGACTAATCCCGGTTGAAAACAACAACCAGGAGTAAAAAAGAGGGATCTTTAGTCCCGGTTGTTGTTATCAACCGGGACTAAAGAGAGGGTAGCGGGCAGTCCAGATGGTCCCCTTTTCTTTTCTTTTTCTTTTTTATTTTCTCCCGAATCGAGTGGCATGCACATCCCCAAATCAAACCCCAAATCCCCAAATCAAATAACATCCCAACTCTACATCACAAATCTTAATGTTACTCATACACACAAATCAAATACATCACAAATCCTAAAAAATAAAAACAAATCAAATACATCACAGATTATACATCTCAGATCCATACAAATGTCCAATGAATCACAAAATTATACATCTCAATAATCACAGAGTATATAAAAAAAACCGGCCGCTCGCTGCCGCCGGGCACGGCCCAGGCGGCCGCCGGCCGCCTACCCGCCGCCGCGGGGCGCGGCCCTGCCAGCCGCCGGCTGCCTGCCCGCTGCTGCGGGGCGCGGCCCCGCCAGCCGCCGCCGCAGCGCGCGGTCCCCGGCCACAGGCCGCCGCCAGGCCTGCTCGGCACCGCCCGGCACGGCCACCGCCGGCCTGCCCGCCGCCTCGCGCGGCCCCCCGGCCACAGGCCGCCGCCTGCCTGCCCGCCGCCTGCCGGCTGCCAGATGGGAGGGGAGGAGAGAGGAGGAGGAGGAAGGGGAGAATGGGGAGGAGAGGGGAGGGGAGGAGGAGGCTTGGATCTGAGGGAGTTGGAGAGGGCGATATCTGAGGGGAGTTGGAGAGGGATGATCTTATCTCTAAATATTTAGTCTGGGACTTAATCGATCAGAGATGGGAGAAAAATATTTGCTCCCGGTTAGTAACTTCAACCGGGACTAAAGATAGATCTTTAGTCCCGGTTTGTAGTACCAACCGGGACTAAAGATCTAAATGATCTTTACTCCCGGTTGTTACTACCAACTGGGACTAAAGTGATAATCTTTAGTCCTGGTTGATAGTATCAACCGGGACTAAAGTGATAATCTTTAGTCCCGGTTGGTAGTATCAACTGGGACTAAAGATCCTCGGTCCCCTAACATGGCTCTGACAGGGTATAAACCGGGACTAAAGATCATCACCAACTGGGACTAAAGATCAAAATTTTTATAACCGGGACTAAAAACAATTTTTAGTCCCGGTTTTTACTAGATCCGGGACTATTATGGAAATCAGCCGACCGAGCAAAGATCATTTCTCCAGTAGTGCCTAATGGTGGCAGCGACAGGGGAGGGGAAGCTAATGACTCGTATAGAGTCATTTTGCTAGTGTGAGTGTGTGACATTTTGCTCATAATCTTCCTACTGCTATCAACGATACCCACACCAAAGATAGCCGTTCTAAAATCCTTCTTCTACATTGATGATTAGATGATATTTTCTATTAATTACTAGCCAAGTACTAGTGTGATGAAGCAATTTTCAAATATTTAACTGTACATGGTACACTAAGAGTTCTAAATTAAGAGAATGCCATGCAGTGTCAATTCAAGTCCAATTATGGGATTTCCAAACATAGGTAGTAGTTTGCAAGCAATGCAAGAACAATCTCTGTACAACACACATGAGTCAGCGATCCAATCCCCCACGCAATATCCTTCTGAATTTTACTTCAAAAAATATATCCTTCTGCATTAGGTAGCAATTCTTTATGCAACGCATGGTTAGTTACACGCTAACTTGAAATAGCAGTGTCATGTCTATGTATGATATTACTTTGGCCAGCTAGCTGTGGGGAAACCGTATACACGTTAATAATTATATACCTCAATTTGAGGTTCACATTCGATGGTATGGCATAGCAAGTTCACAGTGGTGATCTGGAGGTAGGTCTAAACTATTTTGATTCTCATTAGTGTCAACAGGGGTGATGTATGCAATGTAGGACTTCAACCTAGCTATGCTTGTATATTCTCTTGACAATATTTTACCCCCACCAATTTCAAAATCATTTGATCAAAGTTCAAATCCTGGTGTCTCAAATTATGCATACATGAGTGCACTTCGATGGCAAATTTTAATGGTTCATGGATTTATCCCTACGCATGCATCTGTTTAAGCGTGTGTACGTGATGATACACACACATATGTGCATATACTTGTAATTAGCCAAAAAACAAAGAGAGCAATGGATTGGAGAAATTGTGGAAATAAAGTAAAAAAATCCTAGTTTACTAAATATTGCTCATAATCATCCTATTTCTAACTACTTACTAGTATATAACTGATATTCACAACACCTATTATTCTTAAATTCAATGGAATTTTCCATAGATCACTTTGCAATGATGATTAATTAATGTTCTATTAATTACAGTGAAGTTACCCTGTTATTTTTAAATAAATGTACACGGTTCACAAAGCTCTGAATTCAGAGTATCAACATGCAATGTTGATTCATTCTAATTTTCGATTCGAAATATAGTTTGCAGATGATGAATAAGAAATACATGAAGAATCTTTGTGCAAGACATACATGACCCAGAGGTCCAATCCTCAACACAAGATCCTATGTAACATATACAAGCATAACCCTCCTAATAAAAAAACCACAACTCAAATTTTGAAGTGGTAGAGAGATAACCACCATATTACCGGCACATTCTTTTACAGACTGAAGCAACTAAAGATAACTAAAGCTATGTTTTTTAAAAAATCTTTTCTGTATGATAGAAAATCTAAGTTCAAACGTACAAATGACTAGTAGAACAAATGCATGCATACATATGTCATCTGACGCATATGTATAACACTGTCTTTTTGCCAAGCTGATGTGTACTCGCTCCAGTAATGAAAACATGTTTCAGCTTTGAATATGTCCTAATCAAAATTTTAAAGCTTTAAACACTGATGCCTATTTAAATGTTTATGTTTTGCTGCATAAAAATCATGTGTTTGTCTCAAAACGTGCTTTAAAGTTTTATAATATCCAAAGCTTATTATCGTGATTACAAAAACATTATTCCAAAACAGGTTTCAGTGACCGATGGCAGTAGCGTGAAAGTTGTGCTTGGCAAGCCCCCATAGCAGCCACCCAGAAAAAAGTATGTAAAGTGACCAAAATAAATCAATTGATGAGACAGTGCATTGTGCTTGTGCATTGGTAACATTGGTCGGTTTGCTGTGCTCAAGCTATTCTACGTTATCTCCAGGTCATGTTCACAAGAGGACAATGTTACAGCCGGCCTGGAAATTTTTAGTTACAGTATTGACCATGTCAAAGGGAAGGAAACAAAGCAGACGCTTCGTTTTCACAACACACTAGTGCTGCATTCTTGTTGCTTTCTTTCCAGCAAGAATTGGACCATGGAGGATTTTTCAAAGTTCACTGTGTTTTTTAATGGATGCTAATGTTTGATTGATTCCAATGATGCATGCAAACCACACAGTCAACAATCCAGCTGGTGTTTTTTGGGACAAACATTTGAAATTTGAACAATTTAGTATTTGGTACAAATAAGAAGTTAATAATATAAAAAGCCTAATGAAAAATGCGACTAAAAGAACTGACCATCTGAACCTTTCTATCGCATAAAAGGGGATTGTCATCCATTCCATCATCGTCAGGATCTTGAGTCTGAATCCCCAGACCCCAGTCTTCAGCCCAAGTTGCACCACACATGACCCTTGTAGTTGTAGCCATAAACTATTCAAAGCTGCTCTATAAAAGATGAAGCAAGTAATGAAGTTGAAGAAGCATCCAGACGAAGGGAGGCAAAGAACAGGAAGACATGGCATGGTATTGACTTGGCTCATCTCAGCAACAGCAAACTGCATGCAGCGCTGGAGGTGAGCCGAGCCAATATCACTTCATGTCCTCTTTTGTTCTGTGGTAGCTGCAAAACTGTAAGTTTTTACTTAGAAATCTTTGTTCTTTTGTTGGAATCACGTCCTTGGTTTCTATTCCCATGATGTGCAACTTCAACCAAGCAAAGGGGAGGAAAAGAGTGACATATAATTATTCTTGTTGGATAGTTGAGATAGTTGCCTCTCATACAGAAAGATAATAATGTTTTGTTTTCTTGAAATAATATACTTTTTTTGTGTTTCTGGCGCTACTTCTTGGTTTGGTTAGTTCTCCACCAAAGATCTTTAATGACATTCATATTTTAGTTGACCCAGAGTATGTTGTATAAGGCATAATTAACAATTGATCTGGATACATTCTTCTGAGATAAATGCAAGAGAAAAGAAAAGCAGGTATGCAACGGTTGTTTGAAAAAACATATATATGATATGGTAAGCAGTCAGTTCGACGTGTTTCCAAATTCATATGATACCTTTGTTCTTTCTTTTATTTTTCCTTTTGAGAGGACACAAGTTAACTAGACCACCAGCCTCCTCAAAAGAGCTGAATATACATTCCATTAGACCTGCAATTTATTGCAGGAAATAGAATTAATTAGCTTTACCATGTTTGCAAGTAGAAAAGAGCTGAACAACTTCAGTGTAAAAGGTGGTTCCAACAATTTGAAATACAAGCTATTCCTAGGCCAGAAAATGATTATGGTATTTCATGTGTACTCCACCATAGCAGAGGACTAGTGAATATTGACTTCCATTTTGTTCCGTGAAAATTTGTGTAGAAAATCTTCTGATTGTAGTTTGTACTACACTGGCACATGTAATGGATAAGAATAGATACCAATTCAGTTCTCTACAGGTTACTAACACATAAGTACTTCAGTCTTTTGTTTTAGTAGGCACAAGAAATTGTGATTTTTCACCATATGGTATGAAGCATCAAGTGAAATTGTAATTAGTAAAAAAAATGAAATATATTCATAGAAGAAACTAATGTTATACGGTAACAGGAAAAAAGAGAGAGACCACATTTAGTATTAGTCTAAGTAAAACTAATGCACAATTCATGGGTTCTACATAAAAGGTAGAAGAAACATATAGCACATGGTAAACCCACAATTGATGGATGAAATAAAGCCTGACAGCATTAATTCAACTTGTGACCTTTATTTTCTCTATGCAATTATAGAGTTAACATACAACTCCAACCATAACCGAAAACAGAAAACACTAGCATATGCATATATTCAGAAATGAATTGTGAAAAGCTAATCATAGAAAAGGGTATATCCATAACAGTTAATACCAGTTATACACCTTAAAATGTTCTTGCCTACACTCTCTTTGAATTTTGAAAAACCTGAAAAAACCAAAATGAATATTCTTTGTTTTCTTTTTGCGGGTGGGTGAATCTGGTTTGAATCTTACAATTACTTCTGTTCCAATCTAGTGGGTCTGACACAATGAATTATAAAAACAATGTCAAGATTTCCAGCCCTATCCAGCCAGATAGCCTCTTTCTCCATAGCAAGCAAATATAACAGGAATAATTTTCTATGGATCATTGTCTTCTCAAACATGCTAGGTATTGCTTTACAGCTTGGTGTCTAACTATTGATGCCATGGTGTTTGGAAGGGCTGGCTGATCAGATCTGCACTCTGCATGACCTTCCTGGGACCTGAGTACAGAATCAACCAGGTTTTAACCGTTTTCCGTTAATAGTAAACTAAACTACCCCTTGGTCCCCATGCTGCTTTTAGCTTTATTATGATATTAACACTATCCAATAAAGTATAGTCTCTTAGCCAAATCATCGCAGTTTTTTAAGCATAGTTGCATTATCCAATATCAAACATTTAATAGAGTCTGATACTCTGACTTGCACATAGGCATGACACTTGAGCTGCATAATCAGTACTAACCTAGTATAACCTAGTATGCATCTTTAATCCTTTTTTTTTCCAAAAGGAACCAGATTCTCTTCTAATTAACATCCTGATGATAAAAAAGGAACAACAAACTTCAGCTTCAGTTTGTGCAGACAAGAACTTGTACAAATCATTAATTCCCCATTTCATAGTGGATGAGGTTTGGATTCATCCGCTCATGGCATCAATGCGCGTTACATATGTTGAAATTAAGCTGCAAAATTTAGTGGAAATTAACATGCAATTTCGCAATCGCCTCCAATGTAAACGAAGACAAAAGGCATTCACTGTTCAGAGCGCCACCATCGTCTTCCCCAACACTCACCGTGGGTCCGTGGCAGGCCCGTCGGCCATCGGAACGACGCCGCCGCCGCTGACGCTGACCTCCTCCGTCGCCGGGAACGGAGGTTTTCTTCTCTTTTTTTTTTCTCCTCCGTTCTCCCGGCGCTCGCCCTCATGTCAGGGTGGCTCAGTGGCTGTAGCCGTAGGGTTGGCTTCTCAGGCGACACTGTCGATCTGGTCCACGAGCGGCTGCCGGGGAGTATCGGGTGGGGGCACGAGGTCACCGGCGGCGGCGGCGGGAGAGAACGCCGTCGCGACCCACCCAACACCGGCGACGGCGAGTCGGAGGTGCTGCCGCGCTGGGACCCGGGTCTCTCAACATTGGGCCTTGTTGGGCTTCACGAGAGCCAAGCTTTGGGCCGCGTTGCATCTTGTGGGCTTCAATCCGGGGCGGGCCCACAATTGATTCATGGGTATTCAGATGCGAGATTGCTAAGGGGCGATCTATCCCCTAGCGATCAGATTCGGATCCCCTCTCCCTCACCGGATTACTTTTCTATTTTAGTAAATTTATACACCTAAAGTTTGTACACCTCAAGTTTACACATCTAAAGTTTAGTGACCCAAAGTTTATAAATCAAAAGTTTATATATCCGATTTAAATTTGAATTTGAATTCAAATATTTTTATATATAGTATTTCTATACATCTAAGTTTATACACTTAAAAGTTTATAGACTCAAAGTTTATAAGTTAAAAGTTTATATACCCGATTCAAATTTGAATTTAAATTATATCCGATTCAAATTTGAATTTGAATTCAAATATTTTTTATATATATAGTATTTCTATACATCTAAAGTTTATACACCTAAAGTTTATAGACCCAGTCAAAAGTTTACATACCCGATTCAAATTTGAATTTGAATTTAAATATTAGATTATAGACCGAAAGTTTATAAGTCAAAAGTTTACATACCCGTTTCAAATTTAAATTTGAATTCAAATATTTTTTATATATATAGTATTTCTATACATCTAAACTTTATACACCTAAAGTTTATAGACCCAAAGTTTATAAGTCAAAAGTTTACATATCCGATTCAAATTTGAATTTGAATTCAAATATTAGTTTATAGACCCAAAGTTTATAAGTCAAAAGTTTACATACCCATTTCAAATTTAAATTTGAATTCAGATATTTTTTGTATATAGTATTTCTATACATAAATTTTTCCAACTTTGTTTTTTTTATTTTTCTTCAAATTTATGGTGTAGTAGGAAGAGAAGAAAGAGAGGAGGAAGGGGGGGAGAGGAGTGTATAGGGGTGGATGGGGATCGCAAGCGATCGATCGCCCATTAGCCAGCCCCATTCAGATGTATACCCGAAATTTTTGAAAAAAAAAAGTATATATACTCTGTATTTCATATATCTCTATCTCTACTATTATAAAAATTGAAGTTTTTTTTGCTGGTACTTTGGTACGTCATCCGTGTATGAGTCGGTTTTTAAGTTTGGTCGTTTTTGAAAATATAGATTTGTATTTGAGTCGGGTTTTAAATTCGTTCGTTTTTGAAAATATAGGAGGAGTCATGTAAGAAATCTATTTAAAAAAACTTGCATGCTAACTTGAGATGATCGGATTTTTAATTACAGCTTATGATTTTCTAGAAAAGTATATATCCAAGCGAATTGTTACGGTAAAACTATTATAAAGATTGAAGATATTTTTGCTGGTACTTACGTCATCCGTGTATGAGTCGATTTTTAAGCTCGTTTGCTTTTGGAAACAAGGATTTGTATTTGATTTAGGTTTTAAGTTCGTTCGCTTTTGGAAATATAGGAGCAATGCATAAGAAATCTCTTTAAAAAATTAATTTACATGCTTACTTGAGATGATCGAGCTCCTAACCGCAGCACATGATTTTCTACAAAAAAAATATATCCAAGCAAATCCTATCTTACTATAAAGTTATCCCGCACTAACTCCTTAAGCTTAACATGCAAAGATACCACATCATCATTCACTAACAAGATGCCACATCATCATCCACTAACAATCAACACATTTAAACATCATGCAAACATGCTATATTTTTATAGTTTTTATAATTTAAGAGCTTTTCAAATACAAACATGTTACATTATCATCCAACATAATTCACATAATGTTTCAATGTATATCTTTATTATGTTTTATGATATCCTATATATTTATATAGTTCATCCTCACTTAGTTAGTGCTTAAATGATTAATCTATGGTCCAAATTATCTTTCTCCTTTTTTCCTCTAATTAAGTCATATCACATCAATTGTTTTTAGCCTTTAGATGATTAATCTATGGTCCAAACTATCTCCCTACTTTTCTTCTTCCATAAAGTCATACCACCTTACTTTTTACGTTTGAATCACCATTCTACATACTATTTAAATTTAAATTATCATAAACCACATTAATTTACTTAATCTGATATTATCTAGCTATCTTACACATTTTTTTATTGTTATCATACTAAATTCCCGCAGCAATACGCGGGGTTTCACCTAGTTCTTATAGTAATATCACCTTAACTAAACCGTATAGCAATAATAAAACTAAAATAGCCTCCACCCGTTGCAACGCTCGGGCATTTTTTCTAGCGTACTCCCTCCATCTACTTTTGATAGTCATATTTCATCTTAGCACACGGACCAAGGATAAGTAATTGTGAGAGAATATGACTCAACGTGTGTGTATTGATCACGGTGAGAGTACATATATAGGCACAACCAACCATATCTACTCAACCGACTTATAGCAACAGAATCGGGAGGATAGGGAGGATAGCCAAGGGATAAACATGTACACATATATCACGCTAACACCTCCCCGCAGTCGCATCGTCATGAGAACGAACGGTGAGACTGAACCGGAACTCGAGGAAGACCGGCGTTGGAAGCCCTTTGGTGAAGATGTCGGCGTACTGGGAGGAAGTAGGAACATGCAGCACACGAATAGCACCAACAGCAACCTTGTCGCGAACGAAATGTAGATCAATCTCCACATGTTTAGTGCGCTGATGCTACACTAGATTAGAGGAGAGATAGACAGCACTGACGTTATCACAATAGACAACGGTTGCTTTTGCCAGCGGTGTGTGTAGTTCCTGAAGTAGTTGTCGTAGCCAGGTAGCTTCGGCGACAGCATTTGCCACTGCACGATACTCGGCCTCTGCACTGGAGCGGGACACCGTGTTCTGGCGCTTGGAGGACCAAGAAACAAGGTTATCACCGAGAAAAACTGCATAACCGGAGGTTGACTTGCGAGTGTCAGGACAGCCAGCCCAATCAGCATCAGAGTAGACAACTAGGTCAGTGACAGGAGACTTCTGAATGTGCAATCCATAATCCAACGTGCCCCAAACATACCGCAATATCCTCTTGAGCGCAGTGAGATGAGGCTCACGAGGGTCGTGCATGTGAAGAGACACTTGCTGAACGGCATAAGCAATATCTGGTCGCGTGAAGGTGAGGTACTGTAGGGCACCTGCTAAGCTCCGGAAGTCAGTTGGGTCAGCAACTGGTGCACCAACTGTGGCTGACATCTTGGAAGAGGTGTCAACAGGCGTGCTACACGGTTTGCAGTCGGCCATGCCTACACGGTCGAGGATGTCAAGACTGTACTGCCGCTGGTGGAGAAGTAGGCTTGAGGGGAGCCTGTCAACTGTGACCCTCAAGAAGTGGTGAAGTGAGCCAAGGTCCTTCATGGAGAACTCGGACTGTAGGGAGGAGATGGTCCAATGTAGAAGCTTGTCAGTCGATGTTGTGAGCACGATGTCGTCAACATACAGCAAAAGGTAAATAGTATCCTGTCCTCGGCGATAGATGAATAGGGAGGTGTCGGATTTTGCCTCGATGAATCCCATTGAGAGAAGGAAGGAGGCGAATCTGCTGTACCAAGCTCGTGGGGCCTGCTTGAGACCATAGAGCGACTTGTTGAGACGATAGACCTTGTCGGGATGTGCAGGATCGACAAACCCGGGCGGCTGGATGCAGTAGACAGTCTCCTATAGAGTGCCATGCAGGAAGGCGTTCTTGACGTCCAATTGATGTACTGGCCAGCTCCTAGAGACCGCGAGGGAGAGAACGGTTCGTACTGTGGCGGGCTTGACAACTGGACTGAACATCTTGTCGAAGTCGATGCGGGGTCGCTGGGTGAAGCCACGAAGAACCCAGCGTGCCTTGTAGCGGTCGAGGGAGCCGTCGGACTTGAACTTGTGCTTGAACAGCCATTTGCCGATGACGATGTTGGCCTTGTGTGGTCGTGGCACAAGATCCCATGTGCGATTGGAGAGGAGGGCGTCAAACTCATCTTGCATCACAGTGCGCCATTGCGGATCAGCAAGGGCCGCCCGATACGTGCGTGGCACGAGTGAGAGGGCGGCCGCATGAAGATTGAGGCGCTGAACGGGTTTGTGCACACCGGTTTTGCCGCGTGTGGTCATGACATGCTCGTTGATGACCGGGGACTCGCCAAGAGCAGTCGGCTGATGAGGGGCAGTGGGATTCCTCACCGAGCGTGGCCGTGTGGGTACCGGCGGTAGGGGAGGCAGCATCCATGGCGCCTCTGCTGAGGGGGGGTGGATGCCGTGGGCCGGCCCAGGTGAGTGGGCCGGTGAAGCCTGGCGCAAAGGGGAGGCAGGGGAGCTGCCTTGTGACGCTCCAGGGGAGTGGGCCGGTGGCGTGTGTGGCGCAGGGAATGTCGGGGAAGTCTCCTGGGCCGGCCCAGGTGCGACTGATGGAGAGGCCGGTGGCCCGGCTGGCGGAGGGGGGTGTGCCAAGCGTCTGGAGGCAGTCGCGTCTGATGTGGTGGGTCGTCCGATTGGCAGCTGCACTGGAGAAGAGAAGTCTTCCAAGAACTCAAGATCAGTAGCACTGTTATTAGCAGACTGATTAGCAAATGGAAAAGATTGCTCATCAAACACAACATGACGTGAAATAATCACCCGGTGTGAAACCGGATCGTAACACCGATACCCTTTGTGGTGGAGTGGATAGCCTAGGAAGACGCACAAGGTGGACCGGGGTGAGAGTTTGTGTGGGGTAGTGGCGGAAAGATTGGGATAGCACTTGCAACCAAACACTCGGAGGTGGTCGTAGGAGGGGTGGCGTCCATAGAGGGCAAAGTGTGGGGTATGATGTTGTAAGGTTTTGGTTGGGTGGCGATTGATGAGGTGGGTAGCTGTGTGTAGCGCTTCGACCCAAAAGGTGTTGGGGAGGCTGGCTTGGAATAGGAGGGAACAAACGATGTTGTTAATGGAACGAAGGATGCGTTCGGCCTTGCCATTTTGGGGGGAGGTGTGAGGGCAGGACATCCGTAGTGTGACCCCGTGAGTCAAGAAGAAGGTGCGGGCGCTAGAGTTATCGAACTCGCGCCCGTTGTCGCTCTGGATGCTGCGGATGTTGGTGGCAAACTAAGTTTTCACATAGGCAAAAAAGTGTGAGAGCGTGGAAAAGGTCTCCGACTTGAAGCGCAAGGGAAAGGTCCACACGTAGTGGGAGCAATCATCTAGAATAACAAGATAATATTTAAAACCGGATGCGCTAACAATGGGAGAGGTCCACAAATCACAATGTAAAAGCTCAAAGTTTGTAGAAGCTCTAGTAAAAGAGGTAGTAAATGGCAGGCGGGTGTTGCGGCTGAGTTGGCAGGCATGATAGAGGCCGGTGGAGTGCTCCTTGGTCATTGGCAGGATGGTGCGAAGGCGGGCGAGGGCATCCTGACCGAGGTGGCCAAGACGCCGGTGCCAAAGAACGTCGGTGGAGGTGGCGACGGTGAAGGCTGCTGCGGTGGAAGGTGGCAGAGTGCGATGGAGGGCGTATAACGGGCCGGAACTATTGCACCCGGCGATCGCGGTCTTGGTACGCAGATCCTTCACAGTAAAGCCAAAAGGGTCGAACTCGACGGAACACCAGTTATCAAAGACAAAGCGACGTACAGAAATAAGATTCTTAATAATGGCAGGGGAACATAGGATGTCATTTAGAGTAAAGGAGCAATTTGTGTGGTGTAGGTTAGTTTTGCCAATAGCAGTGATAGGTATGGAGGAGCCATTTCCAACAACTATATGGGAGGGATCACGAGAAGTGGGTGGGTGGGTAAAGGAGAGGATACCGGTGTCCGATGTCATGTGTGCAGTAGCACCCGTATCCATGTACCAATCGTTTGTCGGCGGTTGTTGAAGCGTGGCAGTGTTGAAGGAGCCGGCGAGGGAGTGTTGGTCCCACTGGGAAGGCGTACCAGGGAACCAGCCCACAGGCTATGCTGATCCGTGGGGCGTGCTAGGCTGAGTCTGGAGAGCCGAGCCGACGCCAGCCTGAGGGAGATTCGTGGGGAAGGTGGCCTGGTATGCTATTGGGGCCATACCGACTGGGCCGACCGGCGGCCCGTTGAGGATTGCGCCAGCGAAGGGGGCCCCGACAGGCCTTGGCCCGAGCATGCCGCGTCCCGCTGGGCCAGGCCACACGTGGATGGTGCCAGCCCAGGGGTTTGCAGGTGAGGGCCAGCCAGCCTGGCCTGGCCTGGCCGGCACCGTAACCTGTCGCATGCGTGGGATTGGGCGAGGATGACGGCTTGTTGCTTGTTGCACCGGCGAGGAGGACAGTGCTCTATCCAGAGGGGCGGCCGGCCTTTGAAAGCTCTTCCAGCAAGAGCTACGAGCGAACGTCGGCGATCGACGGAAACGGACGCTGCATGGTTATGAGACTACGTAATGTATCAAATTTTTCATTCAAACCATTGAGGGTGGCGAGGACGAGTGCGCGGTCGGACAGTGGGTCGCCGAGGTCGCTAAGGGAGTCCGCCATTGTTTTCATGCGCCGGCAGTAGTCGTTGACGGAGAGGTCGCCTTGATGAAATGTCCGGAATTCGGTGGTAAGGTTGAGAGAACGCTGCTCGCAGTTGCCGAGGAACTGGAGCTCGAGGGCGCGCCAAACCGAACAAGCAGTGGCGTCGTGTGACATCACCTCTTGAAGAAGATCAGCCGAGATGGAGCCGTATAGCCAGGCAAGGACTACACAATCCATCTGGAACCACTTGGCGAGGTCGGGGCGGTGGTCGTCGGAGAGGACGTGATCCGTCAGCGCGTACTTGCTGAGGGCGACGAGGAAGAGGCCGCGCCAGCGCGTGAAGTTGGCGGCAGCGACGTCGAGGGTGATGGGAACCAGGGCCTTGATGTTGAGGACGGAGACGACCTGCGCGTGGAGAGCCGCGAGGGCGTCGGGACCGAGGGCCGGCGCAGCAGGTGGGCGCCGTAGAGGTTGTTGAGGGGCGCCAGGGAACCGCGCTGAGCTGAGGATGGCTTCCAGGGCCGGAGGGAGTGACACCACAGGGTCCGGAGGTGATGAAGCCGGAGGCGGTGCGGCCGGGGCGGAAGGAGCCGAGGAAGAAGTTGGAGCCGACGCCGAGGAAGAAGATGACGTCGAGAGAGGGAGCACCGTGTCGGAGGGAGACGCCGAGGAGGAGGTAGAGAGCGGCGTTCCATCGATGTTGGTGGTGAGGACGAACGCGGTGAGGGCATCAGAGAGGGCGGCATGAGCGGCCTTGGACGCACGGTTGGCAGCGAAATTGGAGACCGAGGTCCCGGTGGTGGGGTCGACGGTGTTGCCTTCACGTGGAGTAAAGGATGTGCGGACGGCGTCGGCGACGGCTTGAACGGCGTCGTCGAGGGCCGCGCGAGCTGAGTCAGGGAGGAGGGTAGGTGACGCCATGAGGAACGCCGGGAGAGAGAAGGGTTGCGGAAGCTAGATGGAATCTGATACCATGTGAGAGAATATGACTCAACGTGTGTGTATTGATCACGGTGAGAGTACATATATAGGCACAACCAACCAGATCTACTCAACCGACTTATAGCAACAGAATCGGGAGGATAGGGAGGATAGCCAAGGGATAAACATGTACACATATATCACGCTAACAGTAATTATACTTATCATCTATTTAAACATGTTACAAGTTATTCCTCGTAAACCAGCGATTCATTAATATTTACATTTCTCGATGCCCATGTAGCCAATCTTGTGTGGAAGAATGGAGAGTCACGGATTAAATCTGAGAAAGTCATTAAGAGGATAGGTTGTTGGATTGAAATATGCCTATCAAAAATAAATTTTTCAGATTTGGAAATATCTATACTAATATAAAAAGGAGGAGTTGTGCCTCGCAATCCGACAGGTGAAATCAAACCCCTCCCATCTCATCCGTCCATCTGCCAACTCATCTAATCTCATCCATCGATTCCATCCCAACGCAATGATTCCACAGTCCCACCTTAGCCGCGCGATGACTCCGCCGCGTTCCTCCTCGCCCCCGCACTCCGCCTCGCTCATCCTCTCCTCGCCCCTGACGGAGCCGACTCCGCCGCGTGCTCCTCCCCGCTCTGCGCCTCCCCGCCGCCGCCGAACACCACCGTGAAGAAAATCACCCCTCCTCGCTCCCAATCCCCACCGGCCACCACCCCTATGTGGCTATGTTCCCCACACCGCGAACCCTAGCGAAGCAGAGGAGGAGGCGGCCATCACTTGGCCCTGCACCGGCGCGGCGGCGGCGGCGACGACGGAGTCCTCCCCTCCTCTCTTCCTCTTCCCGCGGTGGGATTCCTGCGCATCTGATCGGTGTGCATTTGGCCCAGGCTCTAGCCGCTAGGTGAGGATCTGTTCCTAAATCTTAACCCTCTCGCCTCACTCCGTTCCGTTCCTGTGTGGGTTTTTGTTGATGGCCATGCCATCCGTTGGCATCGCCGCCCTCTCTTCCACCAGCATTGCGACTCCGCCACGCCCCCGAAGGCAAGGCCCTGTTGTTGACGTCCTCTCTTCCGCCGGTATCACCACTTCACCACTCTCACGGTGGTCCTGCCTTGTGCCACCATTGCAAGGGGCTCTCACAATCAGAGAGGAAATTGAGCTTATGAGTAAGTCAATCGATTCCCATCGCTTCAATCTTCACTAAACCTCAGAGCATAGCTAGGTTCAACGTCATGCCTCATGTTGTCTATTGCTGTTCTTGTTCCCATTTGCACGTTGCACGGTAGGTGCTCGATGGAATGCTTATTCACTGCAAAATTATGCATTGCAGTGGAGCAGAGAAAAGAATCCAAGAGATGAACTGGCAACGACAAGATTGTTGTGGTCTAATCTGTAGTGTTTTCACACTGATCATCTAAAAACCTCAACAACCAATTCACAGCGTTAGAATGCTGAACAGGGACACCACTGCTCTTCGTTAGAGTATAAACAACAACTTCAGGTACCTCTTTTGGCAGTCATTTGCATTCCTTCTTGTTAGTTATATTATCATTGGTCAAGAGAAATTTTTTCAGGTCTAAATTGCCATATTCAGGTCTAAATTTTTTCAAACTTGGCATTCTTCTCTCACGACTAAATATGCTGGTACCTGTGTTTATTCATGACCTGATTCTCATATTGGCATCTGAATTGCCATGCCTGCATTCCTGCACTTATGCAATTGTTTGCTTCCCAGGAAATGTGTACAAACTTCTTGGTGGTCTTCACGTAAATGCAGGCCTTTTCACATCACCAAATTGAAAACAGGTGAGGATATCTGCATGTTGTCTCCGTTTGGCATTTTCAATGTATCTGCATTATGTATTATATATGTGGCTTGCTTAATTTGCCTTAACATGATATTGAAAATCAGTTTTTCTTTTATTTTTGATATATCGTAAAAAATTGAGATTCATTATATGTCACAGTGCTAGGAAGAAAACATTATGATAGTAGTAATAATGCAAGCTAGATTGGGTTCATAGCCATTGTATCTAATAATGCTTATTACATTTTGGTCTAGGCATTTAACGAGTTCAATGCAGGGAATTTGGATGAGCTGATTATATTGAAGAGCATTGCAAGGAACCATATCTTCATAGCCATTGTAGAGATAATTATTGCAACATGAATCTTCTGGCACCATAGATTTTTTTTCCTGAATAAATATATTAGTTCATAAATCATAGATGTTAATCAGCATGCAAGCAAATTTCCCTTTATGCAGCTGTCCATTGGCATTAATGGGAAAGCTTATCCCTGTTCAATGGTGTCCATTTGAAAATTTCTTATGAAATCATCCATCATACCTTTTTTTTTAGAACTGCATTATACCTTTTATTAATTGCTCTAGATGCAAGTTAAACTCTTGAGTCTTCTTTAAGTCACATAGTGGCTGCTTTTTGTTCTATGATACTTGAGGAGGAGAACATGCTTTTTATTTTTTAAGAATACCATAAGTTAAGGCATATTTTAAGTTTCAGCAAAATGAATGCACTGATGAATACAGGTAAGGTAAGTTTGTCTACCAAAAAAAAATCTTCTTTTTGCAGTTTAGTATTTGATTTCTACAAGCATACAAACTAAAGTTACCATTTGTCTATAGATCTTGTTGTCAATAATACAGAAAAATCAGGTACATCTCTCCTTTATGTGGATAATTTTTCTTTTCTCGCTCTCATTACTTTGGTATGTTACTGATTATACAAGATTGTGCTGCTATTTCTTTTCCTGTAACAATGTTATTAATGCTTATTTCTGCGGGCCATGCATCTATAATGTAATGACTTGCTGGTAGGAACATTCCATAACATTGCTTTTATGTTATTAGCAGTGGTGACTGGTGCCTTGAGATTTTTTTTTTGTCTATAGGTTAAACCTGGCATTCAAGGATAAGTGTTCTTGGGATTTCATATTTCTTGGGAAACACTCAACATTGTTCCAACTGCATATAATGCTACACTTTTTGTGCAATTTAAAAACAATAGGGCAATAATTATTCATGCATTTTTGAAACAACATAGCAGTACAAGATGCGTCGGTTGACAATCATTGGATAGATGATGTTTGGCATGACCTATCAATGGGGTTCTTAACGGAATATTTTGGTATTTGACGCTGCTTGCTGGAAGGGGTGACATTGTCACTAATTAAAGGAACTCATGGCGATGGTCAGAATTAGGCATCTACATGGCAATTTGATTTTAAGGTATTGATCAGATAAGATTTGATGCAACCTGTTTGGAAGTCAGGCCCCTTTGACTTTGAGGTGTAAATTAATCTTTTGCTTGTCTCCTAGCTTAGAATCGCCTATGGACTGTTGTTGTTTATAACTTAGAATTGCAAAATAATTAGTTTTGTCCCCTATGCATCGAACCTTGAGACATCTCATCAGTTGTTCATGAAGAGTAGATTAGTTCAAGCCATCCGGGCAAGAATAAGCCTGTGCTTGACTGAAGTTTCTTCAGCTAGCCCTCCTTCAGCCTGTTCAGTATTGGAATGGTGGTGTCACAAGACTTTATCAGATAAGATGCAAAGCAAAGGGCTCAGGACCCTCTTCTTGCTTGTCTGTTGGGGAATTTGACGTCCCCATGCCCCCCCCCCCCGGGTGGTGTGGCGTTGGATGGAACGAAACAATAGAAACTTCAAGAAAGAGGGATGGTCAATTTAGCGAATTATCGACAAATTCTTTTTTGACGAGATCACGCAGTGGAGCAGCTGTAGAGAAAAAGGTGGCTACTGTATTGCCTTTGGCTTCGGTTCTATTTTGTTACCTCCTATCAAAATTTGTACAAAACAGACAGTCACGCCCATGTTTACAAGTAATGATAATGTTGGTTATATATTTTTTACAGTTACACATGAGATATATTTTATAAATTTTGGTTGAATAAATTATTTTTGGTAGTTATAGTTTCCAAACTTTCAATGTACTCCTATGATATATTTTATGAAAAACGTGCATTGCACGTGCACGATTACTAGTATAAGTAGATGGAGGGAGTATTAAAAAAAAGAAAAGAAACCCCCAACAACACAATAAGCAATCAAACTGCTCTTCCTAGGCCTTCTTCATCTTTCCTGGCCCATTAGTCGCCGGCCCACTCGTGCACACTCCCCTCCAGGGCCTCCACCTCTCCTCCTCATGCCTCAGCTCGGCAGCCCGCAAGTGCCATCCGTTTCTCTCCCCATCCCCTAATCCTAGCCTCCACAACGCGAGGGGACACGGCGGCGCGGCACGCCGGCACTGCGGCGGGCAGCCGGCGGCTGGGGGTAGGAGTGCGCGCGCCGGCGCGGGGGTGGCCGAGGCGCGGCTTCGGCGCGAGCAGGGACTGTCGGCCGGCGAGGCGGCGAGGGCGCGGCCGCGCGCGCGGGGCCCGTCGGCCATCGAAACGACACCGCCCCTGACGCTGATCTCCTCCGCCGCCGGGATCGGAGGTTTTCTTTTTCCTCCTCCGTTCTCCCGGGCGCTCGCCCTCATGTCAGGGTGGCTGTAGCCGTAGGGTTGGCTTCTCAGGCGACATTGTCGATCTGGTCCACGAGCCGAGCGGCCGGGGAGTATCGGGTGGGGGCGCGAGGTCACCGGCGGCGGCGGCGGGAGAGAACGCCGTCGCGACCCAACACCGGCGACGGCGAGTCGGAGGCGCCGCCGCGCCGGGACCCAACGTCGTGGGGTCTCTCAACAGTGGGCCTTGTTGGGCTTCACGAGAGCCGGGCTTTGGGCCGCGTTGCATCTTGTGGGCTTCATCGAGTCGTCTTTGTCTCTCTCTTCGCTCGTTGCAAATCGAGGGTTTCTCGAGGGAGAGCAGCAGAGTGACACCCATGGCGACACCGGCGGCGGCGGCGGCGAAGGAGGTGGACAAGAAGGTGCAGCTCATGAAAGAGGTAGGTTCACCGTACCAGCGATCTCACTGCGTGTAATCAATCGATTCTTGTTCTTGGGGATTTGATTTGTGAGGCTAAGACTTTTTTTCTGGTTGGATTGAAATTGGTTTGGATCCGTGAAGATTAGGGCGCACGAGGTGGCGATCGGCGAGCTCAACAACCTGCCTCCCTCCCGGGTTAGCCTCCCCTTTCTTCCTCTTCCCAAGTACACTTCACTATGTGCTTGTACAATTCACATCAACTAGCCACCTGGTCGCGCAACGCGCGACTTTGGATACCCATTTTAAACCCCCTATATAAGAAAACTCTTATGCTGGAAATGTTATAATAGGTTGGTTTGTTTTGAATTTTGATCATTAAGCGTTATTGATGCATTACCTAGGAGTATAGTTAAAAATTTTATGACACAATTGATGTTGTAATGTATAATCCCATGTTCAACATAAACTCAAAACAATCCTACATCCCATTTATCCATTCACATGGAAAAACATATTTGTGCTGCTTGTAACCAATATGCTACTTTTAAAGTAAATATAATAATGACTACAAAACAACTTTTACTAATTCAGGAAAATAATAATAGGAAAAATAATACTGTAACACTTATTCTGTGTAGATTCAGACCATCCTGTACCAGTGCTATATCAAGTTCATATTATATATGCATAGCAAAGAGCTCATCATCTTCCGTTTTGAAGGAGATAAAGCCGAAAGTAGTTCAGATTTAGAACATTAATATGTCGCATATAATCTGAGATGAATTAGATTATACTTGACTTCTTAGGACTGTCCTTAAGATACCCATCAAGAAAAAAAAGCATTTATATAATGATTAAAACCCATATTGTGAATGAAGCATTTAACTATACACATTCCAACTATTTAGGAAGGCGGCGTATTTATGCTCAGAAATTCTGAAGGTTGTCATGCAGGTCATGTTAATCATCAGATAAAATTCAGTGACAGGGGAAACAACCATTTTTAATCAGCATATTGCAGCCATGGTACCATCAGAGTATTGACTGATGTTTGAAGATTACTGCTGATATGAAACCGAATGAACCTAGCTAAAAATTAACCGTTTTAATCTGAATAACTTCAAATTTTGTTGCAAATGCAAGGACAAAATTGCATGATATTTTATCTGAGTTTTTCTTGGTTATATTATGAGTATCATGAGACATCCAATAGGTGTGGTTAAACATATAAACAATTTAAGCAAGCTAGCTGTGAGGAAATGTAGAAGAAAATGCAGAGACATTGATTTGGTATCGTAGCTAGTGTTTGCCTGATTTCAGAATATATGTATGGATTGAAAAGCTACTGAATCAATTACAATTAAAATCCTATATCTGGTCCTGTCATATATCATAATATTACCATATTATTGCAAAGTTCTACTCTCTGATCAATCCCTGACAATGCATTGTCAAGCACTGCAATCTCATTACCTAAATAGCTCCAAACTGAACTCCTCAGGCTCCTTAGCCCCTTATCTTGCAGAATGAGGAGATATGCTATGATTTCTTGTTTCTGCACTATTGGGAGGTGAATAAAGGAGTAATCTACTAATACCTTTCTGCTCTTGAAGAACAAAAGTTTTGTTTCAACCAGCAAGTTTACATTCTTTTAATGGACTATCCATGTATCATGGTGAAGGAAAAAAGTAGATGCTGATTTTTAATTTGAGCTATGGCGTTGAGGTACTGTTTCTGTCAAGTGGTCTATAGTTGATAATTTTACAAATTAGGGACATGCTAATTTTATTGACAAACTGGATTTGTGGTTCTTACTCAATCCACCCCTAGATTCAAGCAGTATTGTGTTGTGCAATTAATTTTCGGAAGAGGATCTTTGGCAGCTCTCGCCATTAATGGAGACAAAGAATCGACGAAGTTGCGTACATCAGCCTCTGCTATAGTGAAACGTTGTTGGGTGGAATTCACGCAGCTTCTTGGCAATCAGCAAGAACATCTCTAGTTTGCTATATGCCCTAGAGCTTACCGGCGAGGCGGTGCAGTATACGGTGCGTCTCCTCGGAGATACGGTAGAAGCTGGCGCCCTGTTTCATCGTGGCGAGCGGGGCAGCCTCCTGCCGCGGCGGGATTCGGTGGCTAGATCGATCCGTGGGTGGAGGGCAGGGACGAGGTAGTGGAGACAGAGGCAGCATTGGTAGAGGGAAGAACCCTTAGTGATTTGGCCTCCACTCTTGTTCCTTGCTTCCTGTTCCTCATCTTGTGTCGCTACTGAGAGCTGATGTTCGCGGTCCGCCGACCCATCAGGCGTGACAGAAGAGGAGGAAGTGGTGGCGTCGGGGCCTTGGGGGCTGAGGGCGGAGGGCCGCGACTAGGAGGTGGGGAGGCGGCGGCGGCAGTAGGGACTAGTCGCCGGTGTCTCGGCCTATCGCGATTCTACACTCTGGAGCGTAGGCGTCGACGGAGCAAACTTTTTTTTTTTCATACCTTTCAGGGACATGGAAGGATTTTTTAGCGAAAAGAAGTTTCCTGAAGGGTGGAGAAGAAATTTCGCCAATCAAAGGATCCTACGGCTTGCATCATCCGGAACCGATATCGGGCGGCCCATATTTATTGGATGATGTGGCACAGTATTTTGCAAGAAAGCTTGTTGCTTTCACTATTTTAGATCTTTGGTCACCAATGGCAGCAAATGTCACGATATCTGCACCAAATTAGGTCAAGATTTACTGGTAATAGTTCAAAATTAGCTATCCTTGCTGGATCAAACTGATAATAGATTCATGTTTGGCATTTGTCCTGCTCTGAAATCCAGCATTAGCTGCTCTTGCTACATCAAAACTGACAAAAGATTTATGTTGGCATGTCTCCTGCTCTGAAACTCTTCTTGGATGGATGATGCAGGCGGTGTACCAGAAGACCTGCAACCTCTTCTTCCGCAAGAGCGTCAAATCTGCGGTCACGTCTGAGCAGAGTACGGCGATTTGCGTTGCATCGTTTGGTCGATTCCGCATAGCTAATGCCAGTAATTTCTGTTGCTAACATGCCTGTCTGTTCTTCCATCTTGTTCCTGCTTCATAGAGCAACTGGACATGGCGAAATCTCGATTGCAGAAGCTTGATCAAGCCTGAAGCATCACCGCAACCATTGAACTCCTGAACATGAACTGCTCTGCTGAATCATATTTACATGCAGATTTGCTTATTGTTCCTATGCTAAGACCTTGTTGTAATGTGATTCCGGTCAGCTTTATTTGGGATGACATCACATGGGCATGTTTGGTTCTGCTAAGCTAGAGATTAAATCCCCTCAAAAAAAAAAAAGGCTAGACTGCTAGGGCTAAGGTAGGGTTATTTTTAGTAGCTTTCCTTGTAAACACATCACTGCTTCATCGCTAGCTTGTCAGCACAAAGTGAATTTCTCTGATGAAAATAGAAGATGTATTGCAAACAGGAATGTGCTCGTGCTGTGCTTTGAAAGTCATGAAACTCGAAAGGATCCCATTGATGTTTGGTTGCTTGTATTTTCAGGATCTGTCAATACTCTTGTATGCTTCCAGAATCCAGCTCGGTAGGATAAAAGGCTTGCTCGCAGCTAAGCACATCTTAAGTTCTTTCTTTCCATTTCCAAATGCTTGTGCGTTGCCTCATGAAACCTGATTGACGAATGACGAAACAATAAAGATGTGGCAAATGTCCGTGTCCAAATTGGTTTATATCCGTCGTGTATCTCGTTGATCACTATGTTAAAATCAGCGGAGTGACGCATTGATCCCACAAAACAGATCAAACTAAAACAGCATAGAATTTACAACAAAACAACGGAATGTATCAAACTTGGCATTGAAGCATAACAGGTAAACAGGATCGTCCAGCTCTGCAGAAGTTCTCTTCAGTTAATTTCCTCTTTTGGAAAAGGTGCTATGTACCGAGTCTTTATATCATTGGTTTTGAGAACACAATGAAGTTGGTCAGAGGACATACCAGTTTAGCAAATGAAAACAGGAGGTACGACCTGCTTCACAAAACAAGCAGGCAGGAAAGGTAATTGATGAACTACCTATACTCTTTTCTATACTGATGAACTACCACCCTATGTTCTTGATTATATATGATAATATGAATGGCGTGATGTTTGTGTACTCCTTTTATCTACATATGTCCAAACAGTAGTGACCACCGCCATGCTGAAGGCAAGGCTTCACGGAATCACGGTCCATACGATCACGTCAAGTGAAGATGCCTATCTGACAAGGAAAACAAGTTCAAACTGTCAGGTTTCGGAGACATTGCATCATGAGATGTTAGATTAGTTGCATGCAATGTGCTTGTGTAAGTAAAACTGGAAACAGTATATGAAAACTGCGTCTTTTATGCACTTGATAGAGCATTTCCCGGACATCTACCAGAATATCTACTCTTCAAGAAAAGGGGGGAAATTTATAACTCACTTCTACACACACTAGCGTGTTCTCGACCATCGTAAGTTGTATACTGATGAATGAGTTTAACAGTGCATGAATGCCATAAATAGGAATGCATTTGTTCGGCAAAACTCCTAAACCATAAAGAGAACATATAATCCCTAGTTCTAACTTCTAAGACATCAGTTCTTTTGCACAAACGAGCTCCAAATTCTAGCTGCAGCATAGCCAGTAGGCCAGTAGAACTGCCAAGAACATGTATGTCGTCTTTCGGCAACATCTCTTTTAGGTTATGGAAGAATTACTTCCGGCCTCAAGTTGATATCACAAAAAAAAATTGCCAACATTAAAGATTCATTATTATCCCTCCATGAGATTTGAAAGAGTTAAGACCCCTACAAACTTTAATGCTACTTCCCAGATTTAACTTGCAAGAATCAGACATTATTTGGATGGGTTCTAAAAATGGACAGGTCACAGCTCAATCCATGTGGAGAACTAAAATACAAGTTTCAAGTTTGTATCAATTGAAGTAGCAGTCATACAAGGTTGAAAAGATAATAGTTCAGATAAACAGTGCAAAGTAGTTTCAATAAAAAAAAGTGCAAAGTAGTTCTTACTCAGAAGTGTAGTATGTGGAGCTTGAACTGCTACCTATACTGGCATTGAGATATTATAACGGCTGCGCAGACCATCGATAGCTTTCTCCACAGACTTCGTCATTTCAGGGATTGTCACCTTGCACACTAATTTTTAGGAACATATGAGAACTGTTGAGGTTACAGAACATAATACATTTCTTACAATAACTTCAAACGTGGGGATTAATGAAGTAATAACCATAGACACAAATTTGAATGAACTAGCAATGCCCTTTAGATAGCATATATCATCATCAGCTAGCCTTTAACATTTGTATTCAAGAATCATGATCATAATTCAAGTTCAAGAAATACTTTTCTGTTAGAAACAGACCACTTGAAACTAATCAACCATCAAGAGCATTGAAACCAAAGAAACAAAAAACAGCATGTTCTTTTTTTTTCACTCATGCCGGTTCATAGGTCATGAGTTTATTGTTGGAAGCAAGGGTGTAATTAAGGTGAATATTGTGGATAAGAAATTCCAAGGATGGATCTAATACCACGAGATGTAGATGATTGTGCCTCTGCCATGATCTGCTTGTACTTTGCCTGAAAAAGGGAATAAATTTTAGCTCAAACAAGGAATTGAAAACCCTATTGTGAACAAATGATTTAATTGACCTTGATCATCTCTGTATTTTCATTTATGCTGTCAGACATCTTCTTGTACTCCTTGTCCACTTCATCTGTAAGCTGCTGACAGGCGTGGTCCTGGATCTGAAAAGATATTGAAATCTCACACGGTGTTATCTCAAAAAGCACAGAAAATAGAAGTTACTCCAAATGCATTTAGCTTAGTTGAACATATCTTCAGTGAGGGGAGTACATGAAAATCATCTGAACATATTAGTTTTCTTATTGCAGTTATAATTTTCTGCAGAACTCCAAAGGCTGATTATCAGATATCTATGAGCATCTAATCATATTTCATTGTTTGTTGACATCTGCTGTGGATGAACAAAATACACAGACATGCTGGTATTAAGAGTTTTGAACACAAATGGATGATACCTTCAGTGTTATTTCATCCTAGAATGATAAAATTTTCACTGGTTAGAAACATAGCCCATGTAAGTTAGCCCAACAATCCAGCATCATTCTAAGGGATCAGCCCTCTAGCCACCTTAACCACTAAACTGAACATCCATGAAAATGCATATGCCATGAGCAAATATCTAATATCTCAAAGGTCCCTCCTGCAAGGTCCCGGATTACACAGTTTCAAATCAGGCTTACTAACTCATTGCAAGTCGTCCTTGCTTACATGACACACAATTGCAGGGGGCTCAAATGCCCACCCTTGTCGCTGAATCTAAGAAATGAAAGTTTGCTGTCACGATGAAACACCAATCCAGATTTCAGAGCATATCTATTATACCGATTCGGATCTGATAGACAAATAACACCAACTAACATTTAGAAAATCCCGCCTCAAAAATAATCCATCAGATGCACCGAGACATACTCACGGATCAACAGAATGGAACAAAACTCTGCTCGCCATACTAGATTAGGCAGCCATATGAAACAACACAGAGACGCTAGGAAATCCTCATTTCTCACAGGATAAAGCTCTAAAGCATCAGGTAAAGTAAGGGACCAAGGAAAACGTTCTAGTCGATACTCGATAACGATCACCGAGGGGCGTAAACCGCACCAAGGAAGGGAAACCCTAGCGATCAGCGCGGCCGAAATGGTAGCAAAGAGGTGCACGAGACGAGGCTCTCACCTTGAACCGCTTGGAGGCGCGGGAGAGGGAGGCGTCGAGGTCGGTGTGGGCGCGGGAGTGGAGCTCGTCGAGGCGGCGCTTGAGGGCCTCCATCTGCGAGGCGGCGGAGCTTCTGAGGTCCCCGACGCTGGAGACCGCCGCGGATGCAGGGGACGGGGCGGGGCCCCCCGGCGCCACGGCGGCGGAGAGAGGGGAGGCGGTGCCGGTGCGCGGGCTGGCGAGCGGCGAGCGCCTCGACGACCTGGACCTGGGCGCGGGATTCGGGGAGGCGGAGGATCCCGGGGAGGAGAGGAAGCTGAGGCCCGCCGCCGTGGGGGTGGACGGCGACGACGACGACGGGGAGGAGGGGCCGGCGCGCGCGCGGGCACGGGCGGATGGCGGCGGCGGCGCGACGGGGGAGAGGAAGGAGTGCGCCTTGGGCTTGGTGCTGGCCCGCCTAGGCCTGGAGGCGGCGGCGGTCGTCGCCCTGGGTCTCGCCATGGATGGGGGGTTGGGCTTCTTCTCCGCCTCGCTACTCGCTAGTCGCTACGGCTCGGGAGATTTGAAATTGGAATTTGGAAATGCTGCCGTTTGGGCCAGCCGGCGTGCAAGGACGCGGTACCAGTAGGGCCACCTGTCAGAGAGAGAGAGAGATGTGGGGCCGCTCCATCGTTTTATATATTGAAGGGAAAATTTTGTAGTTGCAAATTATATATGCGTTGGAAACTTAAACACTGTTGTTCATTTAAGATGGAGGTTTAAGATTTGTCTACGTCACCAAGTTTTTAATTTTACACTACATACAGTATATGATTTGCACTTTTATTATGTTGAATTGGAGTATTGGACGTTGTTGGTACAACACGTCTATCCGGCTGTTGGATGGCGTCTCGAATTTTCGATGGTCCAGATTAACCAAAGTGCAAGTTTTCGGTTATACATGACTAGTCACATTGTTAGGCTTTTTTAAGTAAATTTCAGCAAAAACATAAATTTTAGGGTATTCATAATACATAACTCTACATATTACGATTTGTTTTAAAGAATCAAATACTTTAAGAAACCCTTGTTTAAATTTATATTGTTGTTTTTCCTAATATTTTTATATTAATAATTATAAAAAGAAATAATATAAAATATTGATGAGTATATGTTCATGTTAGTCTTATAACGAGCACCGGTTATTCGTAATATGATTATTTATATGTATAAGTAACCGGTTGATGTATCTTCCGATATATTTTTTCAAATTGTATAGTGCAAGAGTAAGAACGAAGATAAAATACCTGGAGGAGATACGTATTTTGAGCCTACTAATGTAAACATATAATAAGAATATCATATGCGATAATGTAATTATGAATATTTCATGTAAACATGAGGTTTTTTAAAACATTTTGCACCAAAACCTTCAGTTCATTAAAACAAAACACAGGGGTTTCACGTTACAAGAAATATTTTGCACCAAAAACTTCAGTTTAAAACAAACCACAGGGGTTTTACTTTGAAAGAGCCTTAAAACCTAGGGTATGGTAAAATTTACTTTATATCAGAAATACCTGGAATAGTTTGTATTCCGTTTTCTGCAGTTAAAAAGCAGCACGAGTTGTTCAGTTGGTTAAGCTATCTTTTTTTTTCTTTTTGGAATAAGAGGGCAGGAGAGTTGGTTAAGGTATCGAACTTGTTTATTTGAGCCGGACCCTTAATATATTACTCCCTCCTTATTAAAATATAATAACTTTTGGACGGATGGAACATCTGTTTATGTTCCATCCATCTAAAAATTGTTATATTTTGGGACGGAGGGAGTAATATGCACGATTACTTTGAGTGTACCTACGGCAATGCGACTAGAACTTCTGAAATAAAATGTAATAAACAATCTATTTCGAGACTTTAGGATACGTGCAAATATCAAATTACATTGCCTGCGATTTTAAAGATGATGTTGAAAAGTTACATAACTATTATTTCTTTTAACTTTAACTTGATTTATTTAAGTATAACTAAGACCCTCGTCATTTGGCTGATAAGAGGAAAAAGTGAAATGGCATATTTACCAATGAAAAATAATTTATGAATAAAAATTTTATATATGTGCTCTTAACGATCTATAAAGTACCGAAAAATAAACTACGATGGAAAAAAAAATCCTAAAATCATCTCCAAATTTGAGGTTAAAAAATTTAAATTTTGGATGATAAGCATAAGCATAAATGAAAAGATAAGGCTATACATTTTTCAGGCGTAAATTACACTCATAGTGCATGAACTTGCGAGGTGGATACAAACAGATACGACTTGTAAAATGCTCATTCTAGTACAATAACTTGCCTATCCCGTACAAACCTATCCAAAACAATCCACACATGCAAAATTGTTCTAATGTGTACTATCGGAACAACACATATGCACGCTAGCAGTTGTTTGTAGTTGTGTAGACCTGCACATACTGGAGTATTTAACTATTTACCACTTTATAGATGTGGCAATTAAGGATTAGCCACTCGCAGTCTATGACATGTGAGCCCTCATGTGTCTATGTCATGTGGGTCCAGTGGTAAATCCTTAATTACCACTTGTAAGAATGTCAAATAGTTAAATATCTTGCACACACTAGCTCAATTTCAGATTTGTAGAATATAGCAGTGAACAATAATAATTACTATGCTGCACAAAAGTTTTGAATAAAACGAATGATTCAAACATATGTCAAAAATTTGTGTCATCTATTAAAATCTGAAGAAAGTGATAATATATGATATGAGTATATCTATAGAGAAATGTATGCCTGAAAGAAAAATACGAACAGTCAAATATTTAGGAACCAACTATGATCCATGGGACATAAGACAAGCTTGCAAATAGAAAAAACCTGGCTTAGACCCTATTTGTGATACTTACAGCTAGTTGATATTCCTATCCAACTTCTAATAATTCGAAAAAAATGAGTTAGTTATAGTTCATTTTGATTTTATAACTACATATTCTCTAAATCTAGATAAGAATCGACATTGTTTGATGAAGCCAGATATTTTATGAGAAGTTGCAGCTTCTACAAGCTCCAAAACATGAGTTTAGAGACTAAGCTCGGCTCTAAAACATGAGCAAGCTCGGCTCGGCTTCTACCTCATTAAGATAATTAAAGAGCTAAGTATGGCTTGAGCTAGATTGTTTAGCTCGTGTAACTTAAAAAAACAGGTATAGGTTGCAATATAGCAACAGTCAACAAGGAGGAGAACATCACGTGTTTTCTCCAGGATTCCACGTATGCTGATTGCAGGAGGTACGGTGTTGATCTCGCACCTCGTCTTTCTCCTCCATGGCAAACAAGGACGCGTTGGCGTCGAGTGTTTGTTGTGTTGAGCGACGACAATGGATGGGAGTGGCCAAGTGCGGCAAGCCACCACTGACCCCGTGATTGCGAGAGCATATATAGCCGTGAGACGAGACAACAGTGGGTTAGTGGCACTCCGTCTATGGAGTGTTAGCTAGATTGGGGGTGACACGATGACTTGGGCATACGACGATGGTGCTGCCATGCGGACTGCCTAGAAGGTGAGGCAGATGTGACTCAGGACACTTGCTCAGCAGCTGGAGTCTCGATTGTAAACACTAGGAAGCTTTGGGCATTGCTTGCTCTCAGTTCGGTAAGCTCGTAAGTAGCTCAAGCTGGTTCCTTAGAGAATCCACAATAATTTATCCAAAATTGATCCTCTATATCCTCATAAGATTTATCTAAATCTTTCATATCCCTTCTCACTGCAACAGATCATTCATAGTACATCCTTTGTATCACACCCATCTGTATTTTAGTATATCTTTCAACTAACCATACATCTGTACTAATTTGTTAAGGGCTATATTTTGAACGATTAAATTTTAACGGTATTGTTTATCGCAATAATCTTTTGAAATGAGTATATTTTGACAAATATATTTGTAGTGTGGTATTTTTTTTAATTGCTATGCTAGCTAGTGATGAGTGAACCATTTTTTTCAAATTGATATGTTGAACAACTAGCTTTCCAACGGTTATTTCATTCAAATTGTATCCAACGGCTAAAACTTCAGCTCAATGAGCTTTATATATACCATTACATTGTCTATTATCTTTTTCCTCCATCCACATTGTTGTGCATCCTTCTTCCATCACTCAATGAGTTTTATTTTGAGGCATCTTCTGTTGGATGATTCATCGTCGGATGACGATGAACTCATCTTTGCAACAACAGTAGTCGCACAAGATGAATATGAGCAGTTGAATGCTCCATGACGAGGTTGTTCTGTTCCTTGTCGTCAGGTTATTCATCGCGATTATCGAGTTGGTATCTGGTATGCCTCTCCCTCTCCACCCTCACTCCATGGCTACACCCTCTTCACCCTCCGCTACCACCATAGCCATACAAAAATACATAACGGCATGGGGTACTCACCTTCACTAGTCGGCGACGACGACGATAGAGGGAAGTTCGCGATGGTGGGGAGATCGATTCGGAACTCTGAATAGGGGTGGGATGTCACACCCTGAAGTTTTTCTCCCAAGCCTAAATCAAATTAATAAATGGTCTCAAGAAATTACCTGTGTAAAGGCAAGAGAGAAACCCTAATTTAATAAAGGCAATTAATAATCGGAAAAGGCATGTGGAATTTTTCTTGGGTTCTACATGTCAAAATATGCTAACAGGATTTTTAGTGAAATTTTCAGAGCCCTAGAAATAATTTTAACCAATTAAAATTGAGCACAAGCATTATTTAAACCCCTGGAAAATTCTTTTTCTTTTTTCCTTTTCTTTTTCCCCTCCTTTTTATTTTGGGCCGCCGGCCCATTTCCCCTCCGCCTCTCCCTAGCGCTAGCTGGGCCGGCCCGAGGACGAGGCCCAGCCAGCGGCCGCCCCGCGCCCTCCCCTCTCCGGATCACCGACAGGTGAGGCCCACCTGTCGGGCCTGTCCCCTACCTCCGGCCGGCGCCGCCCGTGCCCGTAACCGCCTCTCCCGCGCGTCCCGCCCACGTCGCCCGCCTCCCGCGCCCTCTCCCACACGTCCTGCAACCGCCGCCCCACTTCCCGCACACGTCCGAGCCGAGAAACGGCCGGGATTCGATTTTTCGAATCCCGCCGGCCCTCTCTCTCCACCTCCCCACTTCGCCGGCCACGCCCTGCCAATCCCAGCCACGTCTCGCCCCCTCGAGCCTATATAAAGCATCCCCGGCCCCTCCTCTCTCTTTTTCGCATTTCCATCGACCGCTCCGGTGCACCCCATCGCTCTAGCGCCGTCGTGCACCTCTCCGCCGCCGCCGCCCCTCCGGTGGCCGCTAGCCACCGCTAGCCGTCGCGCCGAGCCGCGCCGTCGACGCCGTTGCATTCACCGCCTCGAGCACCACCTCGTCCACCCCTCCGTCGGCCGAATCCGCCGTCCCTCTTGCGCCGGTGAGCATCGCCATGGTCGCTGCCTTCAGCCGGCGCCCTAGCTCGCTGCGGCCTCTCTTACTCTCTAACCTCCCTCGTTTTGTTCTTTAGGTCATCTCGGAGCCCGTCCCGCCGTCGCCGCCGTTTCCCACCGCTCGCCGTCATCAATACTCGTCGGCGAGGCATCCCCTCCTCCCTTTCTCTCTCTCCCTTTCTCTCTCTCCCACGCCGCATAGCGCCGCCGTTTAGCCACCGCGCCGCTGTGCTGCCGCCTAGCCGCGCCGCCGTCATGTCGCTGCCGCTCGCTGCTCGCCGCTGCTCGCCGCCTCGCTCCGCCGCCGTGCACCATGGCCGCCGGGCCGGCTTAAGCCACTCGCGCGTGCGCCTGGCCGCGCGCTGCCTCCGCCGTCCGATCTACCCTTGGGTAGAGGGTAGATCGGGGCCGTCCATCGCCGCCCGCGTGGCAGCCCACGTGGCCGCCACGTCGGTGCCACGTCGGCGCCACGTGGTGCTCCCGTCCCCGGTCCCGTGGACTCGGTTCACCGTGGACCGGCGCCTTTGTGCCGATGACATGTGGGGCCCGCATGCCGGCGCCCCCCACCTTCGCTGATGTCATCCGGGGTTAATTAATGCGCAATAATTCAATTAAGGCTTTTTCTTTTATAGTAAAAATACAGTGCCCATTTAAGTCTCACTAAATCAAGAAAAATGCAAAGAATCCATTAAAAATGGTTTTGTTCTCTGTTTCAGTAGTCTTATAGCCTGTTTGTATTGTTTGCTTTGTATATCGCTTAGATTCCGGCTCTCCCGACGCTCTGGTGTACTTCGAAATAGTCGCCAAGGTTCCTCCAGCCGCAGAGCAAGGCAAGTCATGCTTGTCTCTTGAACATGTTGATCCCATATTGCAAATGCTCTATTGTTTTTCTTTAAATATTGCATTATTTTATAATGATACCATAGGATGATTACCTACTGTCTCAGCCTTATGATTTGATATCCTGTTCCTTGGCTAGCTTGGGTTGTAACTTGACTAGATGTTGGATTAGTGATTGCTTAGCCTTGCTTAGTTCAACTAGTACACATTGGGGAAATTACACTAATGCTTAGACTTCATATTCTAATATTGATGATTGACTAGTGCCACTGCTCTGGTGTTGGTTAAATAAAATATATTAAATGGTGGGCTGTGGGTGCATGGTTTTGATGGTCGCACCCATGGCAGTTAAGGACCGGTTCACGGGATGCCCTGGAAGAACTTATCGTACTTACCACAAGCAAGCATGGGCAACGGCTGGGCTTGTAGTGTAGCTTTCCTCTAGCTGACGCATCCAGGCAAGGGTGGGCGTGATGGAGCGGGATGGGCCCTGCGACGGCCTTTATCGCTTTCGGATTCACCTAGGCACGAGAGGGGACTGCCCGCTGCCTTGCGAGGAGTGGGGGTGAAACCTGAGGTGTGGTGTGTTTGGTTAGAGGGGGTTATGCGAAGGGTCCTGTCACGGCCTCTTTCCGGTATGTCGTGGTGGCATGTCGGCGCACGGTAACGTGTCGTGGGGCTATGTCTTGTGGGTACAGTTGTACACCTCTGATCAGAGTAAAACTATTTGAATAGCCGTGCCCGCGGTTATGGGCGGTCAACCAGATTCACCGTGATTAGTCTCACCCCTAGTTAGTTAATGGAACTGATTAGTGCAGGTGGTGGTTTGGGCCTATCTCAACGTGGTGTAGCGTTGAGCAGTGACTGATTTAATATTGATTAATTATTACAACTGTTTTACTGCTTTCAACTACTGTTTATAAATGCTAGCTTTACGCAAATGATCTCCTTTAGCCCTCCTTTGGTTATACTTTGCATCATACTCTCCGTTCCGGTATGATTTACTGAGTACAGTGGGTAGTACTCAGTCTTGCTCTATCTCCAAACCCTCAGAGCTCGAGTATGCGTTCGATGGTGGTTTCTTTGAGGAGTAGGCTTCGTCCGTGCCGTCGAGGATGCCTGTGGAGTGGTGTTCCCGCTGCAATCCAAGTCAAGGCTTAACTCCAGTTATCTTTTGTTTTTCCGCTGCATTTATGTAAGACTTTTATAATGATTGTAAGACGTTGATCTATATGTCAACTTTGTCGTTTGTGTACCCTGGCCGGTCCTGGACAGGGGTTTTAATGCACATTCTGCTTGGAATTCTATTCGGGAATTTCTAGGCGTGACACGGGAGCTCGATCTCGATGCCACCGTTATGATATGGCGTGAGGATACAGACACTATATTTGGCATTTCTCTTTCCGTTTTGACGCGTGAGGATACTTTTTGGATGACTCGATGGCGTATCTGCCGGAGGCCCATTTTTCACTCCTGTGTGCTACATCTCGGATGGAGTCTCGGATAGAGCATCTGCTAGGGATGCTCTTATGTACTTGAGCTCAAACAACAACTTTCCTCGCTAGGAAAAACACAATAAGCCAAGTCAAGACAAATCAGTCACGAGTTGAGCAAGCTAACGAGCTGAGCAAATCTCAAATGTTCGATCCGACATAGATAAATAGAGGCTATTGGATTTGATGAATGAGTAATTTAGGTGTAAATTGTGTTTGGTAAACAATATGATAATATATATAATAGAAGATTCATGGGTGTGTAACTCTCACAGAGACAAGAGCAAGAACAAGTATACTCCTATATTACCCTTATGCAACAAGGAGTGCTACAAAGTTTTTTCAGGTGTCTATTTGCGAAATAAGTTTTTTAAAAGGACCAAATTGTGAAAAATCCAGCCATTCACAGTGCCCTGAGTTGTCATTCAGCCTCCACCGGCTAGATCGGAGATTACCCTCCACTACAACATATTTTGTTGCCTCACCAAGAATGGGGAGCCAAAGTAAGCTACACGTTCCTCATCAAATTTGTAGCTCTGGGCCCACAATTTTGTGTCCTGCGCCCCTCTGGGAAGAGAGAGAGGCCGGCGACGACAACGGCAACAGCGACACAGTGACCAGGCCACGCGTCGATAACGGCGATGCAACAACGCAGGGGGAAGTGGAGAAGTGCCGCCGCCGCCGCTGTCGCGGTCGTTGGGGGAGAAGAAGTGGCCGCCGACAGCAAGGAAGATAGGAGGGGGGAGAAGGAGGCGACGGAGAGGGGAGATGAGCTCGAGGTCAAGGCCGCGTCATTGAAGCATCTAGGCTCCCGTTGTTAATTTTGGTAATTAATGACAAACACTAATTGTGGACTAACCGTTCTCTTGAGTTATATATTTTGAGTTAGGACCACATAATAAGTGTGCTTGGATGATTACCGAAGGATTAAAATTTGATGGCACAAAGTAAAGGAAAGAAGACAGTAAAGTAGAGTTTTAATTTTAATTGATCGAGGAGTTGGGCGATCAAATTGTGCTAGTTTTATTTATAGCTTTGCCATACTATCAAGAGGGGTAATGACCTAAACAAAGAAATGATCAAAATGCCACATTAGGTCATTTGCATTTAGACTTATTTCCTTTTAAATAGCTCTTTGTCTCTGCTTAGGGCAGGTCTGACCGAGGTGGTGTTGTCGGTTTGACCGGCGGGTAGCGGCCGGTCTGACCGGCCCCCTGGATGCTAGTGTTTGCGCTCTGGGGAGGCGATCCAGAGCCATCAGAGCCACAGCCGGTTAGACCGAGCCCCGGCTGGTCTGATCGGCCGCACTACTGCGATCTGACCGGCCACCTGTGTGTCAGTGCAATTAATGCACTGCAACGGCCAGCAGCTGTTGCAAAGTAGTTCGGTTAGACCAACCACACTATGGCGGTCTGACCAACAGTGCACTGAGTTGGGGGGATTTCGAGCCCCAACGGTTAGTTTTGGTTGGTGGGAATATAAAAACTCCCCCACCAGCAGTAAGGGGACTCTCTTGGCACTTGCTTCACTTGCATACACCCCTTGCACACTCTCTAGTGCTTGTGTTCATCCATTATGTGTGACTGAGGGTTGATTAGCCAAGAGTCAAGTGCATTTGCTTCATTGTAGAGCTAGTGTGGCACTTGATCATCTCCGAGCCGGGTCATCGCTTATTACTCTTGGAGGTTGCCGCCTCCTAGACGGTTGTGGAGGTATTGCCCGGTGACCTCTCCGAGAAGATTGTGGAGAAGGCCCAACGCCGGTTGTGAGTGGTTTAGAGTTCATCACATTTGGAGTGAAGGAAGAACTACCCCTATTGATCGAGGCTTGTGTAGTCCACTTCAAGAGCCGGCTTCCACCTTGCCCACCCCTTGACGAAGGGGGTTTGCAGTGGCTTCATGGTTTTGAGCGGTGAAGTTAGGCTTGCCTTACCAGGGATTAGGAAACTGGCGAGTTTCTGAACCTCGGGTGAAAAATTCCTTGTCTCTTGTCTCATTTACTTGTTGCAATTACATTTGCGGTTGGAGGAGGGGAGGCGCGGCGGAGGAGAAGAGGTGGGGATGGAGAGGGAAGTGACGGAGAGGCAGAGAAGCTCGAGGTCAAGGCCGATGTCGATTCATAGCCGGCAAGCTCGATCCGCAGCCAACACCATCGCCGCTCGGTCCGCCCCGCTGCCTGATGCCATCGCTGCTTGGACTGCCCCATCGGCCACCGCCGCTCAGCCCCGGTGCCTCGCTTTCTCCGACCTCAGCTTCCTTGCTGGTGGGAAATTAGAGAGGACAGAGAGAAAGAGAGATAAAAAGTGAAAGAGATTGGTATTGATGGGACCATTTATAAGTAACTTGTATGGTAAAGTTTATAGCTTAACATGTTCGTTCTTAGTCTAGATGATATGTGAAGAAAGATAAATAGAGACACACTGCTAATCTGCTATTGCCCTGATATCAATCCAGACGTAGAAATATACTCCTCCATTAGTTTACTCCCAATTTCTCAGACAGCAACGAGGAGGCAAGTTGTTGGTACTGTGGGTGGAGTGAGTAGTACCAAATCCATACCCAATCCACACCCACCTAGTAGTCCCCGGCTCCCAGCTGGGTCGCCGGAGAGTGTTCCCTGTAAAACGCAGTCTAGTCTACTACTGTGCGCCCCTCCGCCCACGGAACAATCCAGAACGCAACTCGGACTTCTAGATATTTCAATCCCCCACCGGCTTATAAACCCACCCCGTACACAATAGGGTATCATCATCACACCATCACGAGCACCACCACCACTCACCACGCGCCACCCACCCCCGCACCGCACGCCAAGATCCGACCGCCGCCGCCGCCGCCGCCGGAGTAGGGAGAGGGAGAGGAGATGGGGCGGAGGGCGGGGTCCTACCCCTACTACGTGGAGGCGGCGCCGCCGGTGGACGTGAACAAGAACACGGAGTGGTTCATGTACCCCGGGGTGTGGACCACCTACATCCTCCTCCTCTTCTTCGCCTGGCTGCTCGTCCTCTCCGTCTCCGCCTGCTCCCCCGGGATCGCGTGGACCGTCGTCAACCTCGCCCACTTCGCCGTACGTCCCGCCTCGCCCCCCGATTCATTCATCCATCCATCCATTCATTGACGGCGAGTTTGCTCCTTCTTTCATTAGTCCGATCCGTTCTTGATTAGCGCCGCTAGCTAGTCCTATCCTGTCGCGTGTTGGTCTCACGCACCCGATCTGAGAGTCGCTTCTGCTGCTGTTCTTCTTTGGTACTATCTTTGATGAGATACAGTGGCGGAAGGAATCGAGGAACACACCAACTTGCGGAGATAATTTTTCTCTTCTTCACAAATATCTTTTTCTCAAAGAAGCGTCGATTTCGCAAGCTGAAATATCAGGGAATAATCTTCCTTACCTTTTTCTCTGCTAGTTTGTCTCAAGTATATTCCAACCTTGCAAAAGTCAAAAGAGATTTCTTGGTGTATGTACAATCTGTTCAGGTTGAACTCAAGTCCAACTACGCCTTCAGTCTAAAACAACTAGCAGTGAGTTGATGCAAGAATCTGTTCACTGTTCACATCATTGCGCTAAAAAAAATGTTAAATGTTAAATCCAGATTATGTTATGCGTCGTGCTTTATTTGTGGACTTGCATACGTTTCTTGATTGTCCTAATTGACAAACGTTGCATTGATAGAATTATGGGTTGACAATTGTCATATGTTCTTTGTCATACTGGGTGGTTGTGTGTGGCAAATGGTTTGTTGGGCTGGATATGTGCTTGAACAAATTTCTCTATGTAACGAAGCAAAGTAATTTTAAGGCCATCAGCAGCAAGCTGCCAAGCACACATTATGTTGGAGTTGATTTAATCTACCATTTTCTTTCTCCCTTTAACACAATAAAACATTGCTTCTATATCTGTAAGAGGGCTTGAGTTAGATGTCTACAATTTGTAGTCCTCAACATTCAGCTACTAGTACTACATACTGTATTTAAGTAAATTTTATTTTAATTTTTTTTGGCAGATCACTTATCACTTCTTCCATTGGAAGAAGGGAACTCCATTTGCTGCTGATGACCAAGGCATCTACAACAGACTAACTTGGTGGGAACAAATTGATAACGGGCAGCAACTTACTCGTAATAGGAAGTTCTTGACTGTGGTACCTGTGGTGCTGTAAGTTCCATTTCCATTTCAACCTAATGTACTTCATCATGGGATTTTGTTGTAGTTGTAGAAAGAACTCAAAATGTATAATTGTTGTTACAATAAGTATTTCTGGGGTGGAAGCATCGTCCATTGTGAAGGAATTTATTTTCCTGCCTTTTTTTTTGTGTGAAACGTGGACAGGAAGGCTGTCTGGATGATTAACAAACAAGGGTTCATTTTCCTGCTCTTAAGACTATTGTTTGTTTAGTTCCATAAGGCTAGAACTTATTCTGATTAGGATTGTGCATGTTTATTTGCATTGCACTTAAATGGAAAGTTTGATTCATATAACTGATGTGATCGGAAGTTGCATATCAATGTTACTTGCTTTTCACGTTATTCTGTTAGTTCCAGAGTAAGTTAAGAAAGGGTTGTCATCATGATCGAGCATCTTCTGACTTAGGAGAAAGTAGATTAGCTTCTTTTTTGTTGAAGTCGCTTTCTGGAATTCTGGTACTATTTTCAGGCAATGGCCTTCTGTTAAGATCATGGATATCCTATTAGTAATATCTGTTCTTTGCATTAGTTGATTCTCCTATGATGCTTTTAACTCTCAGGCCAACAGAGATGCTCTTTTTTTCTTGAATGGCATGTTCTAAGATATGCTCATACACTTTGTTGCAGGTACCTGATCGCGTCACACTTGACCGACTACAAACAGCCAATGCTTTTCCTCAACACCATTGCAGTTCTGGTACTAGTGGTAGCAAAGCTGCCAAACATGCACAAGGTCCGTATATTTGGAATCAATGCAGATATCTGAGGACCATATGAAGAACATCAGGGCACAAGCTTCTGTGTGTTTGCAACGAGGGACAAGCGAACTTTGTGCAAACACGGTATCTAAAGTAGTGAAAAAACTAAACTTTTTCACCACTGCAATCTGTAGTATGTGCATAGGTGTAGGAAGAACCTGTAAATGTTACTGTAGCTTATAATTTGCCTACAGGTTGGAGGCTGCTGCATGTTTGCTCATGCCACTTCCTTTAAGAACTCTAGTGGAGAGTGTAGACTGTAACTTAAATAAACATGTAATCTTGTGGATATGGAAAGTTTGGTGGTTGTTAAAATGGTGAACCGGAGTTCAGTTCCTGCAAAAATCTCCCCCATTTATGTCAGCACATTGTTGCTGAACGTAGGCTTCAGACTGTTTTTCACAGAATTTCGGTCTCCTTGAGTGGTGATAATTGACAAAACGAATGCTTCTGGAAGAGAGAATGAGCCACGTAACTTGATTGAAAACTCTGTCACTCTTAGGGCCTGTTTAGTTAGGAAAAGAAAATTTTTAGATGTTACATCGGATGTTTGACCGGATGTTGGAAGGGGTTTTTAGACACGAATGAGAAAACTAATTTCATAAATCGCATGGAAACTGCGAGACGAATTTTTTGAGCCTAATTAATCTGTCATTAGTACATATGTGTTACTGTAGTACTTATGGCTAATCATGGACTAATTAGGCTCAAATGATTCGTCTCGTGATTTCCCTTCTAACTGTGCAATTAGTTTTTGTTTTTATATATATTTAATGCTTCATATATATGTCCAAACATTCGATGTGAGGCCATAAGTATATATCTTGTTGGGAATGGAAGAAATACATAGGTGTCCCAGGAGTCTTTTGGTGAGCGACCTCTTCCTTGCACGCTAAAAACATTGCTTGAAGGTTAGTGCCAATATGCCTTGTCCGTTGGTTGTGACGAGGCAGTGCTTTCAAATAGCTATCTCAAATATAGCGGCCTGAAAAGCGTAGTAGTGGCCTAACAAGCATAACAACTGACAAGTCAAATTTTTTTAACTTTAACTATTAATAATAAAAAATAAAAAAGATCAATGATGTAAAATTGATGATACTAGATTTATCATTAAACAAACTATCAGAATATTCAACTCTTTTTATTAAAACATTTTACTTTTATAGATATAGTTGGTCAAAATACCATCTCGAAGACTATGTCAGAATCTAAAAATACTTATATTTTAAGATGGAGGGAGTACTATTTTGGGGACACATACATGAGATACGATCATATTTAAGTCAAAAGAAATTTATATTATATTCTAGCTTCCAGCAACCCAAAATTAAGCATGACATCCATTCTGATTTGTGCACCATGGTTTGGTTAGCTTTAGGTTTATTGGTTTAAACTTCTAAGCCATTTTTTCTTATATATTTTATATGCCGGTGGTTTCGAAGCCAAAGTCATACCCTCCATTTCATATTACTCAAAAAAGCTACTCCAACCTGTTTTTACTTAATAGTGTAACAGTGGCTTGTGCTTTAAAACAGCCTAACAAAAGAACTTCTTATTTGATTAGATTTATACTTTTTGACTCATAGCTGGCTTATAATTCTAAATAAAAAGGCCCTAAGCATTTCAGCAACTAAAAATGCTTCTCCTTGGAACGCAGGAAAGTAAAAATGTAGGATAGGTAAAAACATAGGATAGAGAATGGGTTACCAATGTGGCTGGGAATGGAGTCACGGAGATGGGCAACGTATGGAATTTCCCAAGTTAAACTGTATTGTTGCATGTCTCAAGTACAGTAGTAGTACAACTTAACAAGCAGTTTCCTTTCGTTCTCAGCCTTGTCTTTCTTTTTGCAGTTTAGTGGGAATTCGATCCCAGGTGGCTGAGGGGGCCACACCACTATTATTTGAAACGGATGAAGTGATTGGCTATTTACAACAACTGCGGGGCAATGAGAAAAAAAGGAAACGATGAATGGCAAACCGATAAAATGAAAAATCTTCACCATCCTGGGCGACTAAAACCCCAAAGGTCAGACAGTCTCTGCAGCTTGGCACTCCTCTGTAATACGGCAATAGTATATATTAGTATTGCGCTCCTCAGTCGCTAATGTTGCATACTGACAAAAACTTCTGAACTGCATTGTGGTATTGAGTACCCTGTGAATGTCCAAAATTAGTTGGATACAAGAAAGAGAATATGGGTAGTTTGGGAAACAGGAACGGATAAGTACCTCCCAATAGAGCTGGTTGCAGTCAGTGCACTTCCAGAACTCCAAGTTTCGCTTGAAGAGGCAGGAAGGGATAATCTGGAAACCTTTTGAAGCTTCAATAGCCTCATCGAGTGTGAGCGGTTTTTGGATGAATCTTCCATTGCACTTTGTACATCTCGACATAAGCTTATCCTCGGATATCTTTAACTGGAAAGTATCAATCACCTGAAACACGTATTTTCAGTAGTTAATAAGCCAATCAATGAGTTTCAGAATCTCCTCATTTGGAAGTTGGAGATAAGTACGCGTACTATACTGTGGTTTCAGCTGGAAAATTTTGTATCCACAGTATGATTCTAGTCAATGTTATGTCTATATTTTACTTCAAAAAAATAAAATATTAATACACCATATGTATATAACTACAGAAGTTCTGGAGTCTAGACAAAACTGTCAAAGTGGTTGCACATTTTTCTTGGTAATGTAGAAAAGTTTCTTCTGTGATTTGGCTGACATTGTACCAGTTCCTGCCAGAAATTTAAGTTCACTTGGCCTTGAGTGATTGTTGACACACAGACAGTCGCGCACACACAAAAGAAAGAGAACTGAAATCAATCTTCTGATTTTTTGCTGTGTAATCAATAAGATTGGGCCATAAAGCATTTACAGTAACTTAAGTTTTTGCAGATCAATAAAACTGAAGACAGAAAAAAAAATGTGCATACCTCTGCCAGTTGATCATGTTTGAGAAGGCTCTTCACTCTGTATACCTGGTTACTTGTCAAATATTGATATTTTAAGAGCTTGACATCTCTTGTAAGTAATACTCTTCTTTCCTTATAGGTTTGATTTAACAGTTCCCTACATGATAAAGATAAGCACATAAACGAAAACATAAAAATGACAATTCATAGAGACATTAAGAATGTTATAACATTTTTTGCAAAACTTCTAGAGAAGACCTTGGTTCAGGCTTCCTTGAGGATGGAGTAGCAGCATCTATTCCAACACATCTCAAGTGCTTAGCTAAACCCTCAATCTGTCCAAATTTTCTCCATATCAACCTTTGCAGCATTTGCAAACAGGGAAAATAACTAAGCTATTTTGTATAGAGTGAATCATATTCTTTTTCAAGTTCATCTCATGAAACAGTACTTGGATAAAAATATAAAAAGCACTGTTGAATGTAAAGGGACGAGGGAAACTATTACCATCACATCACACAAAAATTTTGGGCAGCCATCTCCACCAGCAGAAGGATCCCATGGAGGAAGACCCTGCCATTCAGTACTGCCCTCAAACTTCTCTTTGCATTTGGCATTGGTTGCAAGTTTTTGTTTTTCTTTTCGTCTTGATGAACGTGGTTTTGTATCTGATTCTGTAAGCAAAATCTTCTCAGCGTACTTCATCACAACGGATGTAAAATAGTCATCAAAGCAAACAGCATCTTCAGACGAAGAACATTCTGCGTCCCTTTGGGGGCAATGGCCATCTGATGTTAGCTCATTTGTAGGCAAACACTTCCCTGCAATATTTGTTGATAAGTTTAGAAAAGACAACCGCATGATTTATTAGCAATCAACTCATTCACACTTTCATAGCTCCCACGTTCTCAAAAGAGAAATATTTGCCCACAAGTAAACATTAAAGAAAAGAATGTCTAACTTCTGGAAATAACATGCACACAAGCACATGCATGTCGCCCACAAATTTCAAACCTTTGTTGCATTGCATGCAGAATGTTTGTAGAGTCGAGACATTCTCTCTCTCACTATCAAACTTGTATGCCTCTCTTCACCCTTATGCTACTATTGGGAAAGTAGCACAAAGAAAACCGTGGAGAGAAATGTATTTTATAGAGAAAAAGAACAACAGCAACATCCTATGTCCTTCACATACTTCCCATCTAGAGCTCTATTGTGATTGTCAACTGTACTAAGTCAGCTTAGCTACATGTCTTGCAACAAAGCCTGTAAGTGGAGTGTTGCTGTGTTGACTACCTGAATCTCTGCACCAGAGGTGAGGCAAAAGTTTCTGAGCAGTGAATGTGAGTGTGCAACCAGCACAGTGAACAGCTTCATTATACCCTCTTGTGAGTTCTGGACGAGCTTTTGTGCATGTGCAGGGTGACATCATCTCCATTCTCCATGTACCTTCTCTACTACAGGCTTGAGAGATGACCGTGTTATAGCCATCTTAATTGATCTGACAGTTGTTTACAAGGGCAGCAGCTTCTTAGCATCCATCTCATATCTTCAGTGTAAGTGCTGTGAGTCAACATGCTAACTTGAAAGGGATATATAGCTCATAGAACTGCAGAGCACCAGCAAATTCAAAGACATTCTCCCTCCAGTCTATGGCCTTATAGTTTACCTAAGTTCCTCGCCATTGAACCCACCCACCTTTTGTCCATCTTCCATATAATGTTTAACCCACCATGATAATGCGTTGCTCGTGTCATGAATGGCTCTATGTTGACAGTGAAACCAAAAAATGACTAAAGCATATTCCCTCTAAACATTGGTCATATAATCTAGTTCAAGAGGGAATTGAAGGGAACGAAAGATTGTGTCTATCAATCATGTTTGCATGAAATGCGAAAAATAGTTTCAAATTTACGGGAAATATGCATGCATGTGATATTTCCAATCCCATGATTAAACAGTTGAGTTAAGCATGAGATGTACCTTCAGTTCTGATTTTTTGATGGAATAGATCAAATATGTCGAGTAAATAGTAGGCATCAGATGCAGCATATTGTATTTGACCTTCACTTAAGGGACGGTATGACCAATCACTACATTGAAGTTCCTAGCAGAAAAAATTAAGATAACAATCTTAAATCACTTGCAATTCAACAAAACAGTTCCTTAAGCAAATAATATAACTAATGCTGCCTTCCATAACATCGAATAGGTGCAAACAAAGGACAAACTTTAAAAGCTTGATCGGAAGTGTATTGAAAATAACAAGTATTTGTGACTGGAGAGAGAGTTTCGCACTAACTTGCCAATGTGCGACTAAGTTAACAAATGCACCTACTCCTATATTTTGCACAAATTACACCTTACTTGAAAAATAAAAGGATGCATTAAATTAATATGCTCCTACTTGAAACTCTATCAGTTGTCTTCCAGTAATTATTGAATCCTTTATGGGGCCAGAAAGCCCATATTCTCCTGTCCTATCATCCAGTTTCAATTTCACCAGGAACTTTCAAGGTAAGTGCAATGGGAGTATGGGACTGTATGCCATGGAACGACTGGTATGCTGATTCGATGGCCCTTGCATAAATTGCGAGCGACTGGGAAATTTAATTGAAATTGCAGTGAACTGAACAGTTAGTAGCCCTTATTTCAATGAACAAAAAACTAACCATTATCCTTATCTGGGTATCCTAATTCTAGCTAACTTAGAATTATACAAGTCTATGTATGCTATCTAGTAAATTGAAATATTTCCAAAAGAATTGATTCACATGGTCATCAGGGAATGTCCAGCAAACAAAAATATTCACAAATGAAAGCTGTTAGGGTCCACCAAACTAACCTTTGATAAATAAACACCAAGCAGTTCCTCACAAATTGTTGCCAAACTCTTGGTCTCCCTTGGAAGCCTCTTTTGCATGTCATGGCCTTTCAGGTAGTAATAAGCGTTGGTGACATCCAAGAAAGGCTCCACCTAGCGAAAACAAATGCAGCGAAGTTTAGTCCCATTACCACGAGAGTAATCAAACAATGTTCAATGGGGAACCTGAGGCAGAGTGAGTTTAATTCAAGCCTGTGCCAGCTAGTACTACTTGGTTTCACTAATTATTACCCTCACAAAGTCCAAATTACATGAAGTAAAAGAAAGGGTTCAAGGCGTGTTCCACAGCAGCAATTCGATCGATCCCCACTTACTCTCTCGAATCCGGCACTGGAGCCGAGGGCAGCGGCGAAGGTGGCCGAGAGGTACACTAGGTCCTGCTTGAACCGGAACCCCAGCTTCAGCACCTCAGGCCTCTCGAACAGCTCCCGCAGCGGCTCCCGCAATTCGGCCAGCGGCACCGCGAGGAGGTCGACGACGAACACCTCGGCAGCCGCAGCCCCTCCCCCGTCGCCGTCGCCGCGGCATGCCACCTGGAGGAGCGTGACCGTGGGGAACTGCAGCGGGGGCGGAGTAGCCGCCGCCGCCGCCGAAGGGTCATCGGCGACGGCGGGGCCGCGGCGGCGCGGCTTCCACTCGGCGTCGAGGGCGACGACGCGCGCCGCGGCGAGGGAGCGCAGGAGGAGCGCGTGCTCCGGCGAGGACCCGCCGCCGGTGACGAGGTGCACGGCGAGCGGCGGCGAGGCAGGCGGCGCGGGCGCGGCGGCGTCCATCGGCGATTGGGGATGGGTCGCGGTAGCGGGTGGATCGTCTACATACGTGCGTGCCGGTGACGGTGGTGTACGGTGTATACTCATATGAGATACGTATACTGTATACGGCGTACCGCGTACGGGGAGAATATAGCACTCAATTCGCACCTCTAGATTTTACCATCCAATCTACATACCTTGATTTATAACATTAGAACTGCTAATTATTATATTTGACCATCCAATCTACATACCTTGATTAATATAACATTAGAACTGCTAATTATTATATTTGGTACCACTTTCACTATTTTCATCACTTACTTTTGTTTCCCCCTACCTATCACCTATTAGATCCAAAGAGAGAAGGGAGAACGATTTTCTATTGGATTTTAATCTAAAGATAAAAAATATGTGTGATATGATCATAAAAATCTTTCGAAATATATATATACGTACTCCTAAGGGAGAAATATCTCTCTTTGGATCAGCATTCGTTCGCTCCCCACCACCGCTAGGCCGAGCGCCTCCCTACCGCCGCCGAGCACCACGACAGCGGGCGCCACCACCCCGCCCCCGACCGCTGCCACCCCACCGCCGATGCCAACCGACACCACCCCGCCGCTGACCGACGCCACCCCACCGTCGACGCCGGGAGCCACCACCCTGCCGCCGACCGACGCTACCCCACCGCCGTCACCCCACTCAGACCACTGTACAACAATTTTGCAAAAATGTGTGCTAGCGTTGGTGGCGGTGCGCCCGTCTTTCTCCTCGGTGTGGCAGCAGGGTGGTGCCGCTCAGGGGCGCCGATGCCGGTGGTGGGGGCGGCGCTCGGCGGTGGAGATAGTGGGGGTGTCGACCTCGGGTGGTGGGGCGGCACCGCTCGGCAGCGTGGTGGTGGGGGTGGCGCACCCTGGCGGCGGTTGCTCGGCGGCGGGGTAGTGGGGCCACGGCACGGTGGTAGGGCAGAGAGGCGGGGTGGTGGCGTCGCTGGTGGCTGGTGGCGCTCGGTGCTCAGCCTAGAGGAGGGATCGATAGATTTGATCAGAGAGAGATTTCTCTCTTTGGATCTGATAGGTGGGCGCAAGGAAAAAAATGTCAAAAAAAATATACAAATGGAATTAAAAAATAAGTAATACATGAAAAACAACAGAGAAAGTGGTACCAAATGGACTAATTAGCAGTCCTAATAATATATTATAGAAGGCATGTAAATTAAGTGGTAAAAAAGTTGAGGCACGCGAATTCGATGGTAAATAGTCTAAATTTTCGTTCACGGGATACGTATGTCGAAGCATAGGCCCACCCCAGCCAAGATAGTTATAAATTGCCAGTCTCATCTTTCTCACGCAAAAGCCCGTGAAACGAGAAAAAAAAACAAATTAGGCATTCGTTCACTGATATAAAAAACCATATGGTTTATTTAACTTAGAGTAAATTAAATAATGCGCCATATTTTTATTTCCTAGTCCTAGAGTTTTTTTTTTAATAATGGAATATATAACATTTCGGTCTTTGCTCAACAGAGATACAACCAATTATTACAATCTAACACTCGTACAAAGAGTGTATTTCAAATAGAATTAAACACACCCAAGCATTATAAAAGTGACCAGACCAAGATAAGAAACACATAATTATTAAGTCTATTTGTAAATCTCCATCCATAGTTGGCAAAAAGTTGCATAACCGTCGTCTCAAGCTTACAACATGCAACCTTCAAGAGCTCTCCATCTTCATCACACTTTTGCAGCTGTGCCCAAAATCGGAGCCAATATATTGCCTGAAAATTACCTGCATATATGAAATAGATGGTGATTTATCAAAAACTATATCATTACTACTCAACCACAGAGCCCAATATATAGCAGAAGCTCCTACAAAAATTAGTTTTCTCTTTTTCTTGTCAACCCCCAAAGCCAATCATCAAACATATGAGGTATGGAAGAAGGGAGGTATAAACCAAAAGAGAATTGTACCGCTCTCCAAACAAATTTTCCAAAATGACAATCCATAAAAAGATGTTGAATAGTCTCATTTTTCATGCAGAAACAACATCTTAAGCTGCCATTCCAATTTCGTTTTGCCAAATTGTATTTGGTTAACACAACCCTTTTAAGCAAGTACCACATAAAGATCTTAATATTAAGCGGCATTTTAAGCTTCCAAATAAACTTATTTCTATCAATATAACCATTATTAATTAAGGCTAGATACATCGACCTTACTGAAAGCAAACCATTTTGATGATAATTCCATTTAAAAATGTCAGGAGATTGATTCAACTGAATATGTACAATAGAAGCGCACAACTCATGCCAATAAATAAGATTCTAACCAACTAAAACTCTTCTAAAAGAAACATTAAGCGGAACAGATCTCATAACATTAGCAATTGAAGAACTTTTCCTTTGACCTAGTCCTAGAGTGGAGTATCCTTTTTCACTTTGAACCAGCTAGTTTCACACTTAATTTCAATTTGGCTTTATTGTGCTATGGCTTCCCACTCTCTCTTCTGTATACTCCATGGTAGGCACCACCGGTGTGGTGGTACCATACTCCACATCAAATTCGTTGGCCCCTCGCTCGTGTTCCCTAACACCGCACTTCACTTGATCACCTTGAACCCTCGCTGACATTGGTGCCATGCTCGACCTTGAGGTCGGCATATCTCTACCCAGCAAATGAAGAAAGGGAGCAATTTACTTGTGTGGCAACAGAAACCTTGTTATCGGTGTTACCAATGTGGTAACGACTGGGTAGTACCCATTGTAGTGGCTGTCCACGTTAGTATCTTGGATCCTGAGCATCACCGGGTTGAGCTCTGAGTCTCCACATTACTACCACCACTGTCAGTGGGAGCGAGGGCGAGGAAATGGGGATTTCTTTTTCTTTTTTCTTTCCCTTTCACTCAGAACTCAAGTACGAGATGGGTGTGGAGAGAGCTCCAAATCTAGCAGGCATTGGTGTTGGGTTGTTGGTAGAGTTTGGGCATGACGACTGACGCGGTGTCGGAGCTAGCTACATAACCTACTCTCTGGTGGTTTCTTCAGCGGTGCAGGGGAGATCGAGTAAAAGCATACTCCATCTCATCCTCCATCCACAAAATAGCATACTCTAGGAGTAAATCAGGCTCTAGAAGATACTCCATCCGACCATCCAAAAATAGCACGTACGTTAATTTGACGTTTCTCTGTTCTCATGTCATATCACAACTATCCCTCCGTTTTGATTCTCCTGCCCTCATTCGGATCAAGCTATGGAGATGGGATGAGGCTCATGTGTCACTGACATGTGGACCCGTGGGGGTGGGCTTCACACACCCATGTCTCTCTAAGTCAGAGAAGCTCCTCCTTCCATGGAGATGAAGGAGTCAAGGGTGGCAAGCTTCGTCGACCGATTGCGCCATCGCCACTGTGCACCAAGCCCCGTGGCTAGATGTGCCAGCCGCTCCTGCCATCACCCCTCTAAGCGCAGCTGCGCGTCTGTGCCTGCCCCTGCCCGCTCCCGGCATCAGCCAACTGCGCCCATCCCGCTCTCGCCGTTGGCCACCAGTGCCCATCCTGCTACTGCTATTGGCCATACTGCCTATCTTGATCCCGTTGGCCGTGCCACCTGCGCCCGGCCGGCAGTTATCTTTCTTTTTTTTACAAGCTTTTGCAGCTAAGAACAATAACAAGTCAATCTCTGAATGTGTGTCTACTGCTTCTGTATGGATTACTGCTCACATCGCTGCATTGCTCTGCTCGGGTGATAGTTGAAAATTCTCTAAATCGGACGTTTGATGCGGGCGCGCATGCATCGAGCGCTCGCGCCTCCCACGCTTGCACGTCGCCCTCACCACATACTCCATTACAGCAAATCACCCGCATATTACGGAAACGCTCTATTAAGGGAATCCGTTTTATTTTTTTTCCACCAACAACGTTTCAGCTAATGTACTCGTGATGTTTCACTATGTATGGATCAAATGTTGCACTGAATTGAAACATTATTTCGCTATTTGATGAAACATTGTTTTTATATATAATGAAACATCGTCTAATTTTTTAGAAACCGTCTGTTTCATACGTTGTAGTAAAATGTTCCATGAGGCGATTTGGTTGTGTTTTAGCTTTTTAAAAGACTGAAACATTTTCAAACTACTTAGTGAAACATTTTCGATCTACTTGGTGAAACAGAGCGCCCGATTTGTAGGCGCCTCGGGTGATTGTGCGTTTATGATCAAATGAGATGAAACTACATACACAAACTCTAATTCAAGATTGAATAGATGTAGAACTATTGACTATTGTGTTTCCCGTTGCCTGTTGCTTCTTGTATCAGTTAATTTTAGACGATTAGCTACGAAACTGAGACGTTCAGTTACAATATCGATATTGATGGCAGATAGATCCGGTAAACTGTTATGTTTCAAACAGATTTGATCCTATTTATCCGGTTTCAAACCTATCCCAGCTACGCAGTCGATAATTATTTAGGGACTGTCTACCTCTCTGTCGACAGATTTGATATGCCTCAATCTGTCGAACTTTTTTATCTCTCAGATCTTGATCCAACAGCAAACAGAAATATACAACAAAATACTAAAAAAAAGCAAGCTGACAATTGAAAGGCCCATCTTTAGGGCCCAACTAATAAATCAAAATATAAAGGCCGATATTTTGATTGAGCCCAAATAGAGCCCATCTCAAATCACGTGAAAATTATAAGACTTGATTGCCAAGAAGGGAGACAATATCACTTGACTTTGCTGTCAAAAAGCAAACAACATAAAAAAATCTTACGCAAACACCATTTCGAGAAAAAGAATGGAGATGGAGATGGGGATGGAAGAAAGAAACAAAAGTAGAATGAAGAGTTAAACGAATCTGGAGGAAACAAGATGCAGATTGAAGAGGAAAAGAGATTAAAATTGGATTGTTTGAAGAATTATACAGGTAAGAATTACGTGTTTCTTCATGTTTTTGCTTCTGCCTTTGATTCATACCAACTTCTGCCTTCTTCCCAAATACTACCCATATTCTGCTTGTTCTAGTCAGATCTAAAGCAAAGAACAAAACTAATGATTCATCTGACGCATTACA